CAAGCTGTGGCTGTGTTGGAAAAGTCGAAAGCACTTACTTACAAGATGTGATTTAATCTAAAACTTTTTCAGCTCCTCTCCTCCGCAGAGCTTATAAAGTTAAGAACCATTTGGTTATAATCCCAAGGTTTTAATTGCAGAAACAGAATTGATGTAATTTCAGAGAGCAGCTGACAAGTGCAGAATCTCTCTTTTCAGTTTTTTATTACCATCAGCACAAGTAAGGGAACTCCCTGGCGTAACTGATTCATATAGAGTCAGGTTAGAGGCCTTTAGCTTTACTTCAGAAATACCACTCAGCACACTTTTTGGACAATATTTGAGATACTGCAATTTAACAACAATACCATTATTTCTGTGCCTAATGAAAGAATTCTCCAGACATCAAAACTAGGCTTTAATAACTTTTGAAGGTAGAAGAAGGGCCAATCCATATCATATTAATCTAAATCACCTTTTCAGTTTAACAGTGTGCTACTAACGTGCCTAAACATGTCATTCCTATCAGCTTCTGGGGACAGATCAGCAAACCTCACCATTTCCAGAAAAAGAGTTCTGAAAACCCAGTTAGGGATAGTAATTTTGGTTTGAAATCTGCCTTGTTTTTTTTTCTTTTCTTTTCTTGTAGAATATAGATAATTCTCAAATTTTTCTTAATAAAATTAACTAGCAAAACATCATTCATACTATCATATACATTTATTATTGAATTGACATATGTGACCCTGATTGCAAACACTTTAAAAAATTATTCAGTGACAAGAGAGGAAGCTTTCCATGGCAGCTGTACTGTTGTAGTAGTAGCTTTGGGTTGGGAAGGAGTTTCAGCCCTAGAATTTCACTAGAAAGTCACAAGACCTAAAGGTGACTTTTCCAACCATCATCACACTCATTGCATTTCAGTACAAGGAAAATTGAATAGTTTATTTCAATTAATAGTTATTTAGTGGATCAATATGGACTTGCTTCAAGTTTTCTAGACATCAGAGTTTTGTTAAAAAGCTTTTTGGTAAAAATAACACTACTTTTGTCTAAGTACTTGACTGTGACACAATGATTATTTAGGTAATAATTGCAAAGAAGAATTCCAGTATTACTAAAATAGTAAGTTTTTTCTCAGTATAAAATGAATACATGTTCATGGTAGAAATTTCAGAAAATATAAATTTTAAAAGATAAAAATCTAAATATTACACATAATTCAATCAGTCAAAATCATGTTGATGCATATGAGGGATTATTATTTTTTAGTGTTGCAATAATGAATTAGCCAAAGCATAACTCTTATTATAACTTTTGTCTATTGTACTGCTGAGAATAGCACTTCTGAATTTTCCTGACTGGAATCTATTGGAGTTAATAGGTTAAACAGAATGTTCCAATAATACTCGCTATATTAGTAAATATTAAGACTATAGAGAGAGCAACTATGCCCAAGCATATTAACCCTTAGCTGACCACAATTTATGATAATTTTTTGATATCTTGGGAAAAAACAAAATATTTTATTTGGAAATATTTTTAATACTTTCTAATTGATGACCATATATTAGAGAAAAGATTGTAAGCTCTTTCGAGGACAGGAAAGGTTCCCTATAAAGCCTAGTAAGAACTTGGCACTGTAAATATTTGTTGATGACAAATGTTCATTATTCTTGTATAATCATAATAATTTCCTCAAAACTGATTATCATTGGCTGTAGGGGAAAATATGGCCAACATTTTTATAAAATTATCTTGTACTGCTGGTTTAATATTTACAATTTTGATCGAATAAATATATTATTAGAAATAATAAAGTGTTTGAAAGGTTTTCTCAGTATATTTTTATCTGAATGTTATTATAGAAAAATAGTAGTTTTATAACTACCTTTAACTCATGTGTCTTTCAGAAAAAAGTGTTCTTTAAATTACACACTGTCAAAGGTGAAGAATATGGCAAAAGCGGGAAATATGGGTGACTCTTTTTAGACATCTCATTGTTATTTATTTAATGGTAACATACTTCAAAAAGATAGCTATTTCTGTATGTTTGAAAGGTTAACATGCAATGTGTTCCATTCCACATTTAACGAAATCTAGTGATTCTCCTTCAGTGTGGAAAGATGACTCAAAATCCCAACCCAACCACTAACAAGTTAACTAGCTTGAGTACCAGCATTTTATTTGCAGCTCTTTAATTCTAGGGTTTGAATTTGAAGTCATGACCTATATATAACTCTGCGCTTTAGACCCAGCCTGGACAGAGTACCTAATTTTCCTGGCTACAGTGATTGGGCCCCTAACCTGAGCTGGACCAGTCAGAGGCTTCTCTGACGCTCTCTTGCCATAGATATCAGGAAATGATGTCTTTCTGCTGGGGTTAGTACCCAGGTTGTCTGCATGTCTGGGCCTGCAGCATCTTCCCCTGAGAGACGGATGGTGCAATGCGGTTTCTGGAGCATGCATGCCTAAGGCCAGCTGTACTCTGGACTTTGCTACATGAGCCTATGAATTTTTTTTTCCCCTTGCTTATACTAGTTTGGGTTGCGTTTCTGTCATTTACAACTAAAAGAATCTTAATAAAAATAGAACAAGGTATCATAAGTGAGCTAGAGGAAATAAATATAAAAGAAATTAATGATAAAGAAAACAAAGATATAATAGAAAGGATCAACGAAGCCAAAAAGTGGTTCTTTAAAAAGATTAATAAAATTGATAAACTTCTGGGCAAGACTGATTTTAAAAAGTCGAAGCCAAATAAACCATATTAGATGAAAAAGGGGCACTTGAATATAGATATGACATTAAAAAATGTCTATAAATGTGAAAATTTAGATGAAGTGCACAAATTCTGCAATGACCAAGACTGAACAAAAAGCTAGTCAATGACCAAAACTGAACAAAAAACTAGAAAATCTGAATGTTCCTGTTACCATGAAAGAAATTGAATTGGTAGTTTAAAAATTCTTCCGCAAAAAAACACCAAGCCCAAATAGTTTTATAGGTTAGCTCTAGCAAACATTCAAAGATAGATATTTACAACGATAAACTGTTATAGAAAAGCCAGTCTCACAGATGAACATAAATGTAAAGATCCTAAATAAAATATATCACTCTGAATTTGAGTGTATAAATCATATACGTTATAAATATACATGTGTGTATGTATATATAAACACATATATTGACCAAATTGAATTTATTCTAGGAATAAAAGTCAGTTCTGCATTATAAAAAAATTAATGAGTTGTATTTTACCATATTATCGAATTGAATGAGAAAAATCATGTGATCTCAGATACAAAAAAAAAAATTGAATTAATTTTGAACTCTAATGTCACCTCAGTGAGGCCTTCCCTTCTCACTCACTGACTTTATTTTTATTTTTATTTTTTATTGTTTATTGGGGTAACATTGGTTAATATATATAAATTGGTTATATAATTTTCAGGTGTACATTATCATTTGACATCTGTATATTCTATTGTTTACCACCCAAAGTCCAGTTTTCTTCAGCTACCATATATTTATCCCCTGTATCCACTTTACCTCCATGAGTCTCTGTTTGTCCTGCTCATTTGTTGCTTTTAGGTTTATATCCCACATATAAGTGATATCATGTGATTTTCAACTTTTTCTGTCTGGCTTATGTCGCTTAGCATGAAAATCTTGAGGTCCATCCGTGTTGTTGCAAATGGCAGTATTTTCTCTTCTTATGGTTGAGTAATATTCCATTGTATATATGTACCACAGCTTCTTTAGCCAATTATCTATTGTAGGACACTTCGGTTGCTTCCATGTCCTGGCCACTGTGAATAGTGCCACTATGAACATCAGTGTGCAAATATCTTTTTGGATATGGGTTTTCAAGTCTTCCGGGTAAATACCCAGTAGCTTCTCACTGACTTTAAAATTTGTAATCCCCAGTACTTGCCAACTCCCCTTCTTTTGCTTTTCCTCATGGCTGTTAACAAACTAACATAATTTTTCATCTTTTTAAAAACTTTAAAAAAATTATAGTAAAATATAAACAAAAAAATTTCCCATTTTAACTATTGTTAAGTGTACAATTTAGTGGCATTAAATACATTCACAATGCTGTGCAGCCATCATCATTATTTCCAAAACTTTTCATCACTCCCAACAGAAACTCTGTACCAGTTAAGAAAATCTCCAACCTCCTTATTACCCTTAATCTATTTCCTGCCACTATGAGTTTACCTAATATATAATTTACTTGCTTTGTTTATTGTCTGTTCACTAGAAGTTAAATTCCCTGAGGGCAAGAATTTTGGGCTGTTTATTGCAGAATCACGGTATTCGTGACAATATCTGATTTATTAAATATTTGTGGGAGGGAGGGAGGAAGGAAAGAAAGAAAGAAGAACTTTTAGCAAAGTAAGGCTAGAAGGAAACTTTCTTGGTCTAATAAAAGGAATATATGAAAACCTATAGCATTCAATGGTGAAATGTTAAAAGATGCTCCTTTAAAAACAAAAAACAATGTAAATATTTCATTTTTGTTTTAGTTCAGAAACTTGTAAACAATATTTTAATGATTCAAACATATGATAGAAAAAGAAGAAATGATAAAAAGAAAATTGGGATATTAGTTTTCTCCAGATAGGAGGGAGAGGGAAAGATTGGAGCATCACATCTGGCCTGCCACAGCAATAACAATGTTTTTTTTTTCTCAAACTGTGTGACAGAAATGTGGGTAGTCAACATTCTTTTATGTTACTCAGTATTTTAAAAAATGTTAAAAAAAATTTAAACCATAATACCGAGTAAAAGAAAAACAAATCAGACAAATATATTCAGTATGGTTTTATTAATATAAAATTCGAAATCAGGCAAAACTAAACGGTCATTTGTATGCATAACTTCTATGTGGCAAAACTATAAAGAAAAGCAAGAACGATTAACACAAAATTTTGGACTACGGTTACCTTTGTGGAAAGTGAGGATAATGGGACGGAGAATGGCTTGTTGGACTTTGAAAGTATTGGTGATGTTCCTTTCTTAAGCAGATTTGTAGGTGTCAATTTTATTATTCTCTAAACCATGTATATACTTTATATAACTTCTTAGAGAAGTATGAAATAGTTAATAATAAACTAGTTTTGATGGGTAACTTGAGTTCAGTTGTTATCCTAGATAAATTTCATCACTTGTCAACATTTTTCTAAGCACATTGTTTTGCAGGGCAGGGGGAGTTGTTTGTCGGTTGCTGATTTTCCCAAGTTTTTATATTTTTAGGAGATACTAATTAACCATGAGCAACACTTTTTATCTGAAAGGGGAAACCTTTCACTTAATGCCACAGACTGCATTAATACAATTCTTTAAAAAAAAAAATTTTTACATTTTCTAGGGCATTTTTATGTATGGAGTATCCATATGCTCCCTCCCTTGCCCCACTGCAGTTTCCCAGGTTATTAACATCTTTCACTAGTGTCGTACATTTGTTACAACTGATGAACCAATATTCACATACTTTTATTTAACTGAAGCCTCTTGTTTACATTTAGGGTCCACTCTTTGCATTACTGTTTTTGACAAATGCATGACATGTACCCACCATTACAGTATCATACAGAATAGTTTCACTCACCTGAAAATCTCCTGTGACCCATCCATTCATCCCTCTGCTACCACACCCACACCCCAAGGCCTTGGCCAGCACTAGTCTTTATACTGTCTCCATAGTTCTGCCTTTTCCAGAATGTCATACAGTTGGGAATCACGCTTTTCTAGAACTTCTCTCACTTAGCAACATGCATTTAAGGTTCTCCCATGTCTTTTTGTGGTTTGATAGCTCATTTCTTTTTATTGCTAAATAATAGAAAGCCTTCTATTATCATCGTCATTGCTACGTGCTGGGCATTATTATAAGTGCTTTATACATATTCACTTATTTAATCCTAACAACTTTTATAAGGTAGGTACTAGTAATATCCCCATTTTACAGATGAAACAAACAAGAGATCTTGAGTAGCTTAACCAAAGTGGTGGAACAGCATTTGAGACTCAAGCTCTTTGGCGCTAGAGTCCATGCCCTTAACCACTGTACTATAGTGCTTTGTGTAAAAATGTCTAAAATAATTTTCAGCACTTAATCTTGTTTTATCAATTCACAGTACCATGCTCCCCAACTCTGCCTACTTGAAGAGAGCTCATACTTACCTTTTATGTTAATAACTTTAGTTATTTAAATAGCAGAAGCTTTCCCACAAAGCACATTATTCCATATGATTAATAATTATCAAATACTGCTGAACAGTGACAGCTTTTTTGAGCCTTTGCTGTATGTTAGACACTGCTGAGTACTTTTCATACACATCATCTTAATACTTATGACAGCCATTTGAGAAGGTGCAATTATTCTCTCTCAGGAAACTGCGGCTGAAAAGTATTAAATAACTAGCTGAAGGTCACAGAGCTAAGTGGTAGATCTGGGACAGAATCCTGTTGTATTACTCCAAAGTTCCTGCTCTTAACACCACTGTTCTTAACTGCTTCTAACCATAACATTTTGATCAATGACAGACTGCACATATGACTGCGGTCCCATGAGATTTTAATGGAGCTGAAAAATTTCTATTGCTTAGTGAAGTCATAGCTGTCAGAAGGGCATTACTCACGTGTATGCGGTGATGCTGGTATGAACACACCTACCACACTGCCAGTCATATAGCAGTACAGCACAATTATGTACAGTACATAATACTTGATAAGTGCCTATGTTACTGGTTTATGTATTTATTATACTATACTTTTTATCATCACTTTAGAGCGTACTTTTTCTACTTATAAAAAAGTTTGCTGTAAAATAGTGTGCAGTGTTACACCAGCAGCAGCCTCACACATCTTGTGTTTATGCCTCTTGATTGCATCATTTTCTCTTGTGCTTGATTTAATCTCACGTTGTACATGCTGTACAGGTTTGTAGCCTAGGAGCAACAGGCTATACCATGGCCTGGGTGTATAGAGGCCTTTACTGCCTAGGTTTGTGTAAGTGCACTCTATAATGTTTGTACAATGACAAAATTGCCTGACGACGCTTTTCTCAGAATGTATCTCCATTGGCATATGACTATAATTCTGAAAACATCAAACTGGGGAAATGATTAGATCACCTAAGGTATATCCACACAGAAGAACATCTTGCTACAGTTTTAAAAACGGAAAGATCTACATGTATTTATATGGAAGATTTTCAAGACAGAAGAAAGTATCTATAGAATAATATATTAGTAAAGTTCCATTTATGTTAACAAGCCCAAATCAAACTAGATGATCAAGTATGTAATGAGTAGAAAATTATGTGCTGGTACACTCAAAACTCTTAGCAGTGCTTCTCTTTGGGGAGGTAAGTGGAATGGAGAGTGAGTGAAGGAGACTTTTACTTTTTAATCTACATAATTTTGTGTTGGAATTTATTCTATAACATGGAGGTATTATGTAGCAGTTCTCTAAAAATGTCAAAAGACTTTAAAGAACAAACACGAAACGGTTATACATAGTCTGATTACAACAGTGTAAAAATGTACAAAGTCAGAAGGAAGCTTTGAGAAAAAAACAGTTGGCGTTTTAACTTCATGGTCTCCCCCCATCTTTAATTAGGGAATGTGCTCCAATGTATAAATAAGTGAACAGAATCACACCAAGGAAAATCTGCAAGTCTAATTTATTTCCATTAGAAAAATATTAGCTATATACAATTTTGGTCCACTTTTTTTTGCCTTTACGTCTACCATTCAAACTTAAATCTTTAATTTTACTCAAGTAAAAGCAGAATCACATATTTGACATGAGAACTAAATATTTCACACCATCAAATTATTAGTATTTAACTAATACATGTACTCTTCACTATTTCTCAGGAATAGTAACTCATATTTCCTGAGTGTTATTTCCTTTTATTTGTTTGAGTGACTACGTAACGCAATGTGTCTCCTCTCGCATCCAGGCATGTGGGCATGCATAACTGTTCTTTATAACATCAGTGAGTGGATTCATCATTTCATCTGTAATTCATGTTCAAGTCCCCTTATTATATGGTATTTTCTTTATACTTCAGATATTTTAGTCTGTCTTATACTTTCCAACATTGATTATAAAAATTAATATATTTTAAAACATTATTAATATTCCAGACTAAATATTATTAGGCCTGCTTAGAGTGATGCTGTTGTGAGAGGGCCTTGGATAGCTACTGCTTCAATCTCAACACGGCCTCCCTGTAAGGAGAATAATGAGGCAATGGTTAGATCATTTTTTACAGATTAAGAGAGCTCCATACCACCTACTAAAAACATACAACTAACAGCAATACAGCATTTTTTAACAGTAAACTCTTCAAAGAAGGAACGGAGAAGGAAACACTCACTAAGAACCTAAGATAGGCCAGGTTACCATGCCAATCACGTTCATATACATTAGCTCATGTGATTCTCACAGCAGTTTTATTAGATGGGTATTATGTAGCAGTTCTCTAAATTCTCTCCTCAATTCAGAAATTGATTCACCAAAGCTTAGGTTATGCAACCTGTCCTAAGACACAATGCTAAATGGCAAAGGTTCAACCCACATCTTACAATTCCAAGTTCAGAGCTCCTTCTACCATACCCAATACCTTAATAACTTTGATGATATTGATCATTCCAAGTAACAATCAAATTAAAGCAATAAAAATACTACTCACAAACCTAGCTCGATTTATAGTCTCTACATAACAATAAAAAGAAAATAGCTGCTACTTTACTTTTTCTCACAACTCACGTACTCTGATTCTGTTGTGTTCATATGTGGCCTTAATTTTTAATGTTGTGAATTTGTAAGACAAATTTCTAAAATTTAAGTTTCTTAATTTTCCCCCAGACTTTAAGTTCCTGGAAAGCAGAAACTATTTCTTTTCTTTTAAAACTTTTCCTGCTACAGTGCTTAGTTTGTTTGCTACTTTACTTTTTCTCACAACTCACGTACTCTGATTCTGTTGTGTTCATATGTGGCCTTAATTTTTAATGTTGTGAATTTGTAAGACAAATTTCTAAAATTTAAGTTTCTTAATTTTCCCCCAGACTTTAAGTTCCTGGAAAGCAGAAACTATTTCTTCTCTTTTAAAACTTTTCCTGTCACAGTGCTTAGTTTGTTATATTCAGAAAACAATGTAGAAATTTAATTTAAAATTGTGTACATTAGTCATTTTCAAGTGTACTTACTTTGGGCAAAGCAGCAACCTGGTAAGCAGCTCTTGCAGGAAAATCACTTTTGAAATCTAAATTTAAAAGAATTTCATTTTAATTTTCAAATACAATATTGTTACTCGACACAGCATAATCAAGACTCTGCAAAGTGTTTCACAGGTTTCTCAGTTCTTAGATATAAGTACTATTAAGAAAAGAGGCTCACATTCATATTTGTTTAATAAAATATTTTGCCATATGACTCCTATGATATTTAATACTTTTAAAAACGTCTTAGCTTTCTGGGAAAAAATGAAAACACATACTCTGACACTTCGATCTTATTTAATATGAATGAGGTTTTGTTTTTAAGGTGATACTTATAAAAGTTATCTAAATAAGGAACAGCTGCCCATCTCCTGAAATTTTGGCAGGTACTTTCACTGCTAACTTTGCTTTACTCTAGCCGTTTCTTCAAGACAGAATAAATAATGATGTTTTTTCCATATTACACTTTTGTCTCATCTCACCGGTTGGTAGGGACATTTTCCCCACTAAGACAACATTAATAAGTATAGATAACACTTACTGAGTGCTTAGAACACACCAGGATCTGTTCTAATGTGTTTACATGTTGTATTGACTCATTTAAGCATTCCAACAATCCTATAAGGTTTTATCCTTATAGGATATAAGGAAACCAAGATATAGAAATGTTAAGTAAGTAACCAGCTAATGATTCTGAGAGCCAGTATAGAGATAGTTGCTAGACCATATCATAGCAATAATAATCTATGTGTTAAAAAAAATTTATTAGGTATACCTAAAAAGCCTGAGAAGGATATAACAAAATTAAGCTTTAGGAAAATTGATCTCTAGGGTTGTAGTATATTATTCTAGGGAATGCAATAGAAATGTCTTGGATCTTTTTCATGAGGACACACTGTATGTGTCCAATCAGACTATTCATTCTTTTAGGACAAGATCTATGACCACTTCTTTAGCATCTCCTATCACTCTTAATTCACTGTTAATTCATTAAAGTTAATAGGTTCATTTCTCTTTAAAAATGAAAATAGTAATAAAGCCAAATTACTTACACTGTTTATAGATTTCATTGACAGTACCAAAGTCATTTATGTCAGCCAGCAAAACAGTTGTTTTTACCACTAGAAGATAAAAACATTGTTATTAGGTTTAGCTATTTAATCTGATCTAAAACATTACTTAGAAGAACAGTATGGTACTCTGACTATCTTAATTAAAATGGGACTGAAATTAAAACAACTTTAAAAAGCAACAAGATATGTAGCATGACATATTACTGGATACCATGTGTTCTTCAAAAAGACCAAAGAAATATTGAAGAGAAATGTGATGTCCTATTAAGTTGCTCACCATTAGTGAAGTCACAGCCTGCAGCTTTCAGAATTTCACCCATGTTTGTAAGAGCCTGTGAACCAAGGCAAGAAAGGCCTAAGGCACTGATGTTATATTAAAGCTTTAATTCAATTCAATTAATCATCTTAAACCAATACCTCCTTAAATAGCTTACGTTGGAGAAAAATTTCCTTTCTGAAATTCTACTCTTTCTAGGCCACTTCTAAATAAATCTAAAATAAATCATGCTAGATCTATACAACTAAATTAATATGAAAAGATCTCTAAGATGAATTGTTACATGATAAAAGAAAACCAAGATGCAGAATAACATGCACAATAAGCTACCATCTGTGTGTGTATGTGGCAGGGTGCTGTGTGTGTGTGTGTGTGTGTGTGTGTGTGTGTATACACATTTATGCTGGTATAAGCACTGACTGTCCCTGGAAGGATATACAAGAAACTAGAAACAGTGGTTACCTCTGATGAAGAAAACGGTAGAGGTTGGGATAAGGGTTGGAGACATCTTTTCATTGTCTATGCTTGTTTATAGCTTTTGGATTTTTTGCCATACCCATGTATTGCTTATTCGAAAGATTAATTATTTTTAAAAAAACAAAAACATCATCAAATGTTATGTGACCAGTAAAGTGGAGAAGAAGAATGATTTGAAAAAATAATAAATTAAGGACAGGGTAAAAAAACTGATGTTCGTCCAAAGGCCAGAGTGTTTGCTAAAAGAAAACATGTTTTGAGTACTGGCTGAGAATGCCACACATTCTAGCACTGAGGAAGAGGCTTCGACCCAATCTTTTCACTCACAAAAGGAGACGACATCTCACCATATTTCAGACAGATTCATTCCACTGGAGGAAAGCCGAAAGGCAATTCACTTACAAGAATTATTTAACCAGCTCCTTACGGATGGACATTTAAGTTGTTTTCTGTTTTTGGATATTACAAATGACTCAGTAAATACATTAAATTATAAATTAATTCTACTTATTGGAAATCAATCATATTCTCCATTCTTATTTGGAAAAACATGCTAATGTAATGTTTGATATTACAAACATGTAATCTTTGGTACTTCTCTCTAACTAACAAATGTTGACTTTTATTTCTGTGGTGCTGGAGTTATTTGTGTAGGTCGGTGGCTCTGATAAGAAAATTTCCTAATCCATTTTGAAGTGGCAAGATGTTATCTGATTTTAATAATTCAGGGTCTCCCCCTTAGTTTTATTGAGATATAATTGACATATAATAACTAATAAAACGAATAACATTGTTATTAGTTTTAAGTACATAACTTGATAATTTGATACATGTATCTAATATGAAAGGATTACCACAATAAGTTCAGTTAATATTCAATAGATTCAGGTTTAAAGTCACGTTGCAAGGAACAATTTTTTTTTGGTTGTTAAATGATTCATCAAATTTCCAACTTTCTGCTGACATAAAATTGTCTTAAATTATGCAGTAACTTAAAATGCTTTTATCTGGTACTCTCTCTAAAACAAATCAGTCAAGTGAATTCTTAGTATTCTTCAATATTAAAAGCAGTAGAGAAAGAACCTTCAAATGTGGAAAATTACTTACTTGTTTAGCTTCTTCTACCACACCTCCTGGCACAAGTTGTCCACTTGAAGGGTCCATGCCTATCTGTCCTGAAATGTAAATGGTCCTGTCGACTAACACAGCTTGACTGCAATGAATGGAAATCCAGTGAATATATAAAATATAAAATATAAAATTCAACGCTAAAATGTTTCTTTGCTAGGACACAAAAAAAGCACAAAATGTAAAATTAAAAATTGATAATTGGATTTCATTAAAATTAAAAACTTTTGCTTGTTGAAAAATATTTTTAGGAAAATGAAAACACAACTCACAGATTGGGAGAAAATGTCTGCAAAACATATGTCTAACAAAGGACGTATATCCAGAATATATAAATAACTCTTAAAACTAGATAATACAAGACAGCCCGATGACAAATAGGCAAATGATTTGAACAGATACTTCATAAAAGACATATGAAGAGCTAAGGAGTGCTGCACAAGAAATACACTCAACATTATTAGTCATTAGAGATATATAAAACAAAACCACAATAAGATACCACTACACACGAGAGGACATCATTGGTAATAACAAGTATTGGTCAAGATGTGAAGCACCTGGAACCCTCATACACTGTCAGTCGGAACGCAAAATAGTACAAACACTATTCTGTGGAAAAGTTTGGCAGTTTCTTTAAAACTTAAGCATACACTTAACATACAAACTAGCAATTTCTTTCCTAGGCGACTACCCAAAAGAAATGAAAAAATATGTCTAAAAACTTTACATGAATGTTAAGAACATGATAGCCAAAAGAAAAAAAAAAAAACATCCACTGATAGAGTCGACAAAAGACGACATATTATTTGATTCCACTTATATGGAATTCTAGAAAAGACAAAAGAATAGCGGCAGAAAGTAGACTAGTAGTTGCCTGGGGCCAGGGGTAGGGGCGGGGCCGCAAATGGGTACAAGGAGATGTGGGGGTGGTGGGAATGTCCTAAAACTCGACTGTGGCAGCAGATGCACGAATGTACTTTTACCAAAACTCATGGGCCGCTACACTTCGAATGCGTGAGTTTTATATGGAACATACTTCAACAAAGTTGCAAAATGAACCAAGAAAAGCAATGCCAGGAGTAAATTACTCAAGATTAATCGCTGCTTGTTGGAAGATCAACTAAGAATCTACCTGTGAGGGTACACTTCATTTCTGCAGTTCTTACATTTGAAATGGATTTTTTTTTGTAATGAGGCCATTAAATTTCAAAATTAGGATAAAATGAAAGAAAAAAATAAGCTACACTGAGACCTGAAAAAGAGTCAAATAAATCAACTTAAAAGAAAATTTATTATTTTCTAATAAATTTGTTGTTGTTTCTTTTCTAAATTGTAGTTAAAATATATACAAATGTATGATAAAATTTACCATATTAATCATTTTTAGGAATATAATTCAGTGGCATTAAATACTCTCATTTAAAAAATGTTGATAAAGAATCTTTATATCATTCTAAATTTAGAAGCAATAATTGTTTTACCATTTCCATGCTTATTTAAAAACAGGATATTCTCATTTCCAATCTTCAATCAAAACAATATTTTGTTTTGCAACATGCTCTAAACTTTCCTATCTTTTATTTCATGTTTCCCTTCATTTCCCAACCATATCCTTTTTCTTTATAATTTTAAATATAAAATTTATAACTTTTCCTTAATAATTTTTTGAATGAGAATATTTACATGGTTCAAAAATCTAGAAAATATACAAAAAAAATCACAGTGAAAAGTCTCCCTTCTGTCTTTATCCTCCTTCTGTTCAGTTCCTAGCCCCTGTGGATAACCACGGCTCTTCTTTAAATATTCCCGCAAAGTTCCTTCATGCATATATGAAGAAAAATGAATATAAATTTTTCCCCATTGACAATAACATATGGTATACTAAACACTTTCTACACTTTGCTTTCAGTCAACAGTATATCATGATCTTTCCATAACTATATGCAGTTATTCCTCATTCTTTTAACAGCTGCATAGTGTTTCATTGTATGGATGTAATTTAACTAGTCACCACTGATACCAATATTTTGCTACTGTAAACAAAACTACACTGAAAACCATCTCTCTCTCTCTCTCGTCGCACACATGCACGCACACATGCAGGCACACACACCATTTTCCCTGAGTCTTTCTTTCTTTTGAGCCCCAGAGGTATAAGAAAGGCTCTACCTTTCTTATGAACAGGATCCTGCCTCATATGACAGCTAGTTCTTTTCTTATCCTATTTCTTGGGGTATGCCAGACTATAAACTCCTTGAAGGCAGGGGCAGTGTCTTACTATGTTTCTAGCTGTGCATAGTGGGCTAGGTGATTCCTTTTATACAGTGGCACACAATAACTTCTTATTGATGTTTTGCTCTCTCACCACTTAGTAGCTTAAACAACTGTGGCCGTCAGTAAGTATCTTTTTAGGAATACCTACTAGTTTACAGTGTGGGTTTTGGAGGGCTGAAGAGGCTAGGTTTAAACTTGGTAACAGGACTTAGAAAGTTTAGGAATTCTTCTCCACTATCTGGCTTTCACCTTGGCCCACAAATGGATAACTATTGAGTTTGTTAATGTGTAAGCTTTTATCAGATTGAACAGTCCCATCAGCTAACACTGTTTCTATTAATTGTCCTGTGTAGAATTAGGCCACTCTTTGCCCTTTGCTAGGTACCTTTACCTCTGCCCATATCTGAAACACAGTTTAAGCTACAAGTTTATTCATTAATATTGATAAAAACTTTATGACAGTAAAAAAGTATTCATTTATTCTCAGAAAATTAAAAGTAAGTCCTGGATCTCTGAGATTATATGAGCTATGTGAGTTATCTCTATAGGTAAGTAGAGATTGTTCACAAATAACAATCGGATAGTTGACCCTTCCTGAGCATCAGAATCCTCCTATCCATAGACCAGTCATTAGGCTCCAGAAAACTTAAGTGTATTGTTCTAATTCCAAGTTAAAGGGAAATAACATTTTTCAAAATCATCATAATATTCTCGCATCATAATCTATGCCACATGGATTATCGCTTCAAAATGTTATGACTATTTGGATGGTGTGCTAGTAAAATGGAAAGCGATGCAAAGCAATGTGATATCGACGTCTCTCAAGGTTCCCTCCTGGAGCATTCCTAAAATGTGCTGAGCTGAGCTGATCAGCTAATTAGTGACAACACTGCATCCATCCCAGTGCCAGGAACTGAAAGTTCAGCACAACTGAATCCTTCCTGGAGAAGACCCAGAATTTTCAAAAAGTGCACTCACTACAAACTCCATGCACAAAAATTCTTGTTTCCAAATGGTTATTTAAAAATGTCCAATTAACTTTATTGGGATATAACTAGTTAGTTGTAGTATTTTTCCTTTGTAAAACACTGAAAATTAGCACCATTTCTAGTGGCCTTGTATTACCTTTGGATACAAAAAATCACAAGAGGCACAATTTCCTGGAAAGTTTCTATACTATAATGCTGGTTGACGGCTTTTCTTTTGTCTTACTGCCATATTCATATAATAACTCTCTTCTTCTTCTTCTTCTTTTTTACTTGCAGCTTTATAAATATAGTTGACCCATCTCAGAGTCAACCAGGGATATTACTATCATGCTTGCTTTCTTGAACAAAGTATATACTCGAAAAGTGTATGCTCCAGGCTCTATAATCTCTTTGTTTTTGTTTTTAAGGGTCACTCTGTTCTGAAGTAAAACCACTGAGTGACTGAGGGAGAAGGATCAGGGCACAAGGAGGAAAAAGATGACTAATTTTTACTTTTATTGTAATATCCTCTTAACTATTCTTAATGCCTTTTCAAATTACTATCAGAAGTCTCTTCTTAAAAGAGATCTGATCATGTCACTTCCTCTTCAAAAATATTTTATGACTCCTTACTGCATACAAAATAAAGTCTATACTCTTAAGTTTAGCAATGGAAACCATCACAATCCAGACTTTGCTAATAGCTAATTTTTAGCAAGAGGCAAAACAAAAATTCAAATTCAAGGTCTAACTCCTAAGCAGTGTTTCCCAAAGTGTAGGTCCTATACAAACACTGAATAACAGTAAGGAAATGATTCCCTTTTTCATTCTCTCTTCGTAATGAAAAATGGGGACTGGAATAGTGACTGTGCACATAATGTACTTAGAACAGTGTCTGGTGCTGAGTAAGCATCAATAAATGTTAGCAATTATGACTTCGATCCTCTGATTAAATGGAAAAGGATATTATTTTTAGAAAACAAGTTAAAGCTGTCACTTTTTAACAAAGAGAGAGTAGGCTTTGGGTTCTGAACCAACTGCAGTATCCAGCTAGAATTTAATAACATTTTTCATTTAATCGAGTTTATTTTTCACTGTTACTTTCTACTGCATTGTTTTCTATTTATTATTGTAATGTTTCCTTTTTAAATTTGTTAAATAAAGTGAGCCATCTCAAAGAAAAGTGTCAAGTAAATTATAATAAAGGTGGTACACAGATTTGGCAAATACAAAGTAAAAGTGGTACTCAGACTACTAAAACATCCTCCAAAAAGTCTTTATGCTATGTATTCCATGTCCATGCCTCGAGTCTTGCCCCCTAACTGGAATGCCCTTCATTCTATGACTTCCTGTTGAAGTCCTTAACAAAGTATAGCTGACCCCCACCCAACTGCCAAAAATCCGAGTATAATTTTGATTCCCCAAAACTTAATTACTAATCAGCCTGCTGTTGACTGGAAGCCTTACCTATACATAAATGGTTGATTAACACGTATTTTGTACATAATACACATTAGATACTGTATCTTTATAATAAGGTAAGCTAGAGAAAAGAAAATGTCAAGGAAATCATAAAATACATTTACAGTATTTATTGAAAAAAAAGCCAAACATAAGTAGACCCACCCAGTTCAACCTCCATTGTTCAAGGGACAACTGAAATTTAAAAACCAAACATCACAACCATACTTACTATAAATGCAAATCCAACCTTCAAAACCCACTTCAAGGGCTACCTCGCACAAGCAGCTTTCCTACATCTTTTTCCCATGTGCCCCAAGTTAGCATCCATTTCTTTCTTATCCTCTTTTGTCACCTCTCCCCCAAACTCCATGACCCCTCAGTCCCATCGCGTTTTATTTCTAACCCTACTATAATAGTTAGTAATCTGCCATACATAAGTGTTATTTTTTATGGCAGTGTGGTATACAGGGAGTTAGGGCTTGTTCAAATGAAGCTCTGTCACTTACAGACCGTTTGACCTTGGACAAATTCACTTGGAGCTTCAGTTTTTTTTGTAAAATGCGGATAAGATTTAAGAGAAGTTGGTTGTCATGGATGCGTCCCATCAGTTTGCATAAGATTAAAATGTTTCTTTTTCTCTCCCCCATATGTGTGAATGTCTTTCAGACTGGATTGCTTCTTATACATTTTTGTATCCCCTGCACTGCTCCGCACAATTCTCAATACATGTCTTTCATAGTTCAAGTGTTTCAGCAGTAGAGGTTGTCCAGCAGTAGTTCTTTTAACAGTGAACAGCTGCTGTAGACTATATTCTAAAAGGAAAAATGGAAAAAAGTTTGCACAATATACTTTAGTGAAGAATTAAAAATAAGTCTCCGAGAATGCATATAAGATGCAATAGTTTTAAGGCTGAGACATTTTAAGAAAACAAAGTTTTTTTAAAAGGAATTAAACTTTCACTTTAACAGGGCTTCTGACAAGTGGCGATACATGTACACAAGATAGACATTCTGGCCAGTATACATATATTTAGCCAGAGCATGTTGGGAAATCTTGAAAAATGATCTTCGTTATGATTTGTATTTGATTTTATTAGTGAGAAATAAGCACGGGCAAATGAATTCATAAACATCAGTAATGCATTTCTATACGTGTTGTAAAACCTAGTGTCTTGGGTAGATGTGCAGGGATTTGCTAAGCATTTCTGTGAAAAGAACTCAGCTAGCCCCAGAAGGGCACCCACATCTGTGGATGGGATCTACTTCTTCAAATTAAGAGAGGGTTAGACCAAACATTATGCTAAGTGAAAGCAGTCAGTCACAAAGGACCCCATATTGTAGGATTGCATTTACTATAGGAAATGTTCAGAACAGGCAAATCCATAGAGACCAACAGATAACTGGTTGCCAGGGGCTTGGAGAAGAGGGGAATGGGGAGTGACTGCTAATTGATAGGTATAAGGGGTTTTTCTGAGGTGATAAAATGTTCTGAGATTACATAGGGGTGATGGCTGCACTACTCCATAAGTACGGTAAAAATCACTGAATTGTACATTTTAGAGGGCTAAATTTTATGGGTATGTGAATTATATCTTAGTAAAGCTGTTTAAAAAACATTCAGAAAGACTTCTAAATCGGAGAAACTTTCTGGCTGGCTGGTCTCCGCAGTAAGGAAGCCAGGTCTGGGGAAAAGCCTCCGGGAGCGCAGGCTCCGGGTCCTAGTTGGGGCTCCTAACTCATTGTGGGTCTCCAGGTGCGTTGCTCCATTTCCTGGGTTAAGTTTCCTCGCGTGTTCGCTGAGGCTAGCGCCTCATGCGATCGAGGAGGCCCACCCCAGCTCTGATCTGGGGTGGTCACTTTCCACCACCCCTCCCAGCACACCTGGGGTCCGTCCGAGCTCCCACATGCCGAGTTACCTGTAGGGACCAATGGCCCCTGGGGCTTTCACGGTGCTGATCACCTTTTTGATCAAGGATGACATAGCTATTCCTTTTCCCTTGAGGCCCCGCAGAGAGAACAATCCCGTACACTATCTCCGTTCGTGTCCCACTGGACTGATCAGGCCCGGCAGCCGCAACAAAAACGCGACGCGGGAGCTGGCTCGCTCAGGATTCTGGGAGTTGTAGTATCTGCGCAGCTCCCGGCCACGTGGAGGCAGCGCAGCTCTGGCGCATGCGCTTTTCCTCTCGCTCGCCGGTCACGTCGTCTTGTGGGGTAGTGTTAGAGCCTTGTCATTCTGACGGGGAATCCCTGGCTTCCTCCCCTCAGAGCGTCTGGCAGGTAGGTGGTGAGAGGTTGGTGTCCTCTAGAGTCCGCAGCTTTGGGGAGTGTGCGTGTGTGTGAATGAGTGTGCCACCCACGTATTGCTCCTCCCCGCCTCTCCCCAATCTTCTCTCCTTCAGACCCAGCTGACCTCTTCCCTTCCTACCTGCTCCTGGGCCCCTCTTGCGGGCCCAGCACCTCCTTCGGCGCTCGAGCACCCGGAGTCTGTCATTTTGCTTCATTGCCCCACCTGGAGGATGCCGTTCTGGGAATGGGCTTATATCCCCTCTCCTTATACCCTAAAGCAATAACACGGGTCATTCAGAGGACCACGCTGAGATGTGAGCTTTTTCCACCTTCCTGCCCCTCCCTTCTTCCCTTCTTTTGGGTGCTCCTGGAGCTTTAGGATGTCTATGCGTTCCCCTTTGATCTGAGTAGAACCCTAGTGACTGGGATCTGATTTCATTAGGAAGATAGTGATCTTGATACAGCAAATGGCCCTAGGGCTAGTCTTTTGGCAGATATTCAGTCATACTGTGTCAGAAGGGGTGGTACTGGGCTAAATATTTTCTTCCGTTAATAAATACATTGTAGGCATGCTTCACCCCTTCATTTAAGCGTGTACCTGTCCATTCAACAAATATGTATTGAACACTTGCTTTGTGTAAGGCGCTCTGCAATGCGTTTGATGTGCAGTAGTGCAAAAGATAGGTAAGAGCCCTGCCCTACCTTGCTTCTAATCCTGTTTATTCCCCTTCATTTTGTCCTACATACTGCTAAGGTTTTGGTTTTTCTTCTTCTGGCCCAAGAACTTTCAGAACTTTTTCATTATTTCATAATGTCATCTAGTAGAGTTGTGAAATATCTACATACCGGAAATAGTGATTATTGAAATTACTTCTTAGTTCTTTATATTAGTTAGGGTATATACATATAGACATGTATTGGTAAAAGTTAAATGTCTGGTGGGTTACATAATTACTGAATTTCATTTCAAAATAGAACAGAGGTATTTGAAACTATTCAAAAAAAAGGAGAATGTGGAGTTTGAGAATTGAGAATTACTGAGTAAATCCATCAGACTCCACCAGATTTTTGTCCTTTATCCTTCTTCCTTCAAATTGAAATCTTTTTGCTGTCATAAATTAAAGGTTCAGCTGGCTTCATTTCAATAGTAGAAATGAACACATCAATAATTTATGTTCAGTGTTTGTAGAGGTTTTATCAGAATAGCGTGTTCTATATTTCATTGATTCAGATGGCTTATGTTTCACCTAAGAATTTTGATTAAATGTTTTAATTTTTTATTATGGCATAGAGATCTTATACCTTATTTTTTATTCTTTCAGCAGATTTTATGCAGTGTCAACACGAGTATATGATTTAATTATTTGATGGCAATGCAAACTGGAATGTACTGATATTTTCTTTTCCAACAATAGAATTATTTTTTTCTATTGAATCAAGTTTTTGGTGTTCATACCCTTCATGGCTCCTCTAGAGATGCCCCTGGTCATAACATTTTGTTATCATCAAACCCCCTATAATATTTATTATATTGAAGAATCAAATATTGAATCACATGAATATTTATTAAATTCACTTTTATTTTCGAGTGGAAATTTCCTTTCCCTGTACTAAATTTATTACTTTCTTTCCAGAAATGTCTAATGCAAAAGAAAGAAAACATGCTAAGAAAATGAGAAACCAGCCCACTAATGTGACTTTATCCTCTGGCTTTGTGGCTGATAGAGGTGTAAAGCACCATAATGGAGGTGGAAGACCTTTCCGAGCTCAAAAACAAGGTAAGATACACATAATTCTCTCTCCACTGTGATTTGGAGCATATTGCTTCTAAGAGCTTTTTGATAGTTGTTTTCTAAATGGTAAACGAGTTGACTCTTATTTACAAATTTGCCTAGTTGAAAAGTATTTATAACCCTAAAATCAATACTCATGGCACTTTGGCTGTCATTTACAGAGCAGAGAAAAAACCCAAGTTGCCCCATGTGGACATTGCTAGCTGCCTTTTGTTTCAGCTTTCATGCAGAGATGACCAGAGAGGTTGGAGATAATGGGCGGGCAGTGCAGCACAGTGTAAGAAGCTCCAGCTCTGACTGGGGTTTGAATTTCAACTGTGGGGTGACTTCAGACAGTCATTTAATGGTTTTGAACTTCATTTTCTCTTTTGTAAAATAAAGGAAATAGAATCTAATTTACCAGGATGAATTGTTTTTATGATTTAAGATTATAATCTAGGATTATATATATATATACACACACATATATATATTTCCTCTAAGAACAGTGATTCAGTATTTCCTAATTCAGTGTTTGCTTTGACTTTATAGAACATAAGTATTGGGAATAATGCGAATTTACTGTACATATTTTAGAGCTGGTTTATCCCTTAATTATTAAATTGTACTTCTGTATTTCCTAAAAGAAAAGTAGCACGCTCATCATATCTATATTTAACTCGTGTTATGATTTTAGAACCTCATAAGGTGATGTGGAAGTGATAGTTGTTCATTGGGCAGTAATAGAAAATGCCAGTTTGGGAAGACAGCAAGCAGGTGACCAAGAATTTTTTTGGAATGCTTTGAAGAACAGTGTGTGTTGGGTCTAAGTAAGTTTTAGATTCATATTCATAAGATTTAGATTCACATCCAGCAATTGATGCCTACCATGCCATGAGATAAACCTCGGTACATGTTATCTCATTTAATCTTCACAATGACAAGTCTTATAACATGCTTCATGATCATAGGGGCTTAATAACGAAGGCTATAATGGAAATAAGCAGGAACACCATAAAATTCTTTACTGATCTCTCTCTTCATTCACAGACAAAGATTTGATGTTGTCTTAAAGTCAGAGTGGTTTGAATATCCAGACATTTGTATAGAGATTTTGCTCTTATTTCTTTTTAATTTAGCATAGGCTCCCAACTTGAGTGTGCCATAGAATTACAATAAAAGACTGAATATACAAAATCATATGGATCATAGTATTTAAAGGAGCTTAGATTTAAAATCCATGTCACACTATTTATATGGAGCAAAGTTCTTTTTATCAGTTATATCCATGGTTCTTTCATATGTCATACTGATATGATTAGCTAGTGTGCTGCCTAATTAGTTGGGTCCACTTGGGCAAGTTAATTCACCTCCTTACCTGAAATCCCTACTCTTTAAAGGGAGGACAGTAATAGCCAGGAGGTCATAGGATTGAAAACATGATCAAGGTTGCCACCCAAGAATTGTTCTCCACTGTAATCCTTATCCCTGATGAGTGACATATTTCTTTTTGTTTTCTTTTTGAAAATGTACTAGAGTCTTTTTTTGGAACTTCACGACAGCGTCAAGCCAAAATGGCCCACTATTCACCAACTGGCCCTGATGTGAATGAGCAGTCTTCCTCCAAAGTAATGTTTAAAAAAAAGGGAGGTTGGAAAACAGGTCCTGAGGACATTTCTCAGGAAATTCCCAAGTATATAACAGGTAAGGATGTGTAAAGAAGTGAAGTTTGATTGCGTATGAGTTCTTTGTTTCTAATGCAGCCAGATTTCTAACGCCCTTTGTTGTGTCTCAGCCCTTCAGCCCTGCCTCCTATCTCTCCTCCTTCCACTTCAGTCTTTGGGCCTGATAGCTCTCCCTTCTTCGGTTTCTCTTTTTTTCTTACCTGTCTTCTGACAAGTCCTTATTTGTGAACTTTTACTTTGTCTTAAAATCTTCTCCCCCTCCCTTTTAAAAATAGAAAGTGCCATTTACACTCCTCAGCATGGCATTCTCCAAAGATGAAACCAAATTTTATGCACTCTAAGGGCATCCTGGACCTTTAAATCCTATCTCCAGGCCTGTTCCAGCCTTACCTCCGGTACCTCCAACACCCTCATCCCCACTACCACATAACCCCATATTTCTTGTATAGACCTTAGAGGTGTCTTCTGGCCTCTGTTTTTGCCTTCTTGTGGGGAATTCACTTAAATTTCCCCAGCACTCTATTTACTCATCAAAAAAAAAAAATGTAGTTTTCAATAAAACATAATAGTTATGGTCACATATTTGAAAAAAGCAGAAAATATTAAAAAAACCTTGAAGTCAAAACCATTGTTAAAATTTTATTTTTTATTTTTTTTCTTGTGTAATTATTGCAGTTAAGAAAGGTTGTGATTATATTGCATGTAGCTCCCTTTTAAAAAACCTTTTTGTGATCTTGTTTTTAAACATTTTTTCTGATTAGAAAAGTCACACTGAATCCTTGTAGAAAACTTGAAAAAAAAAATTGAAGAACAGTTTTATAATCTCATAATACAGAAATAACCACTATTGGTATTAATCTAATAGGGGGTCAGGGTGGTGAGTGAATTATAAGCTCACATACTTCACATCTTTCTTCCGAGATGTACCAGAAAAGTGTTGATTTGAGACTTGTTTTTAATGACAGTGCTCTTTGCCTCAACAGCTTCTACTTTTGCTCAAGCCCGAGCTGCTGAAATCAGTGCTATGTTGACAGCAGTGACCCAGAAGTCTTCTAATTCACTCGTTTTCCAGACTTTGCCACGGCACATGAGACGCAGAGCCATGAGTCACAATGTCAAACGCCTTCCTAGGCGGTTACGGGAGATTGCCCAGAAAGAGGTATATGTTTCACTTAGTGTAAGTGTTTAGGTTAATAGTTCCTAAAAGAAATTTGGAAGTATTAACTTAATAGAATTTATTAAAATGAAAACCAAAAACAACATACTCATTTTACTTATTTTTTGGTTTAATCATTTATCCCCTTCCCAACCCCCTATAATCCACCAAATTATCAGGTAGTTGAATGTTACAGCTGCTTTTAAATATAGTGTTTGGAACCCCTTTCTTTTAATAGTGTTAAGTAGTTGACATTGCCCTGCCAGATTTAAAGAAAAATTCTGACCTTCTTACCAGCTAAGCAAGTTTAGCTCTGCAGTTTGAGGGTGTGGCCAGCTAGGAATTAGAATGTTAAAAAAAAAAAAGCTGCATCAATGCCTAGAACTTGCCTTTTGACTTTTTCAATGTTGAAAACTTGACATTGAATTTAATTATTTTTGGCTTTACCAGAGTTTTTGGCTTAGACTTTCTAAGGTTTTCTAAGCTATCCATGTCTTTACTAATTAATTCAAAATTTCTTTATTAGTGTGTTCTAGGCACCGGTACTATGCCGATGGTGGAGTTAGTGTTAATCAAGATAAAATCCTTATCCATAAGGGGCCCACAAACTAATGGAGAAGAGGTTTTTCCACAAAAGTTTAGCTTGTCTATGGAAGAGATTAAGAGTGGAAACTACACAGGAATTTTGTACTTTCTAGATTTAATGTGAAGTCTGTTTCCTAGATAGCAGTTAGCATTTCTCTGTCAAGACCTAACTGACATGAAATGTGTGGGTTTTCTCCACTTTTATATTTTTGGACCAAAGTTTTGGGTTTAGTTACCTTGCAGCTTGCTCGGTTAGTGATAGAACCATGCTTCCTTCTTAGGTTTGCCTCTCTCTAAAATCTTCACTATTTCTATTGCTTCCTTTCTCTACTTCCATTGGAGAAATCACCAAGCAAACTAATAGGGTGTGTAATGTGCTCCACTTAATAATCTAAAGTTAGTTGTTTGAATTCCTAACATTTAACTTTGTTTTGAGATGGTTACAAACTGAGATATGCTTCTCTTCTTGAAACTACAGGCAGAGAAATCAGTACATCAAAAAAAAGAACATTCAAAAAATAAATGCCATAAAGCTCGAAGATGTCACATAAACCGGATATTCGAATTCAACCGTAGACAAAAGAAGAACATATGGTTAGAAACTCACATCTGGCATGCTAAACGGTTTCACATGGTCAAGAAGTGGGGCTACTGCCTTGGGGAGAGGCCGACAGTCAAGAGCCACAGAGCCTGCTATCGAGCCATGACAAATCGTTGCCTCCTTCAGGTATGCTTTTCCAATTGGTTTTCTTTTATTTTTGTTTAGACCCTTTCTGATATAGACTTTTAAAATAGTCCATGGTATGCGAAAGCCCTATCTATGAGACTATTTTAAAAATGATTACTGACCATGATGCACTTTGCCAGATGCTAGAGATGAAGCAGCCTAAAGGTATTAGGGGAGGCTGATATTAATCAAATAATTAGCCAAATATACAGTTGAAGGGAAAAGTACACAATGCTATGAGCATTCATAACAGAGGAACAGGTAAATTTTTCATGGAAGTGATGTTTGAGCAGAGCTCTGAGGGAAAAGTGGGAGAGTGGAAGAGGCAGAAGGAAGCCAGATAGGATAGAATTGAAATAAATTCCATGTGACAGAGATGAAGAGAGTGACAGCAAAGCCAACGTTAAGGTAAGGTTAGTTCTGGAGAACTAAGTAGTAAGCAGATCATGCAGGGTCATGTTTGAGATTTACGCAGCAGTGATTCACTTAATAGTCATTCTTCATCAACAGATATTTGAGAACCCTCTCTGGGCCCTGAGCAGTGTTCAAAGTGCTGTTCTAGAAGTTATGATTCATTTTATGCTGGAAAGTTTGTTTTAAACTCTTTGAGAGTACAGTTTGTTTTAGAGCCTTGTAATTATGTTATTTATCTGGTTGTCCCTCTCACTCCCCTCCCACCCCTGCCACCCCTATTGCTAATTCAGTCGCTTTCTCTCTTCCAGTACATATTTAGAAATTTGCTCTTGGCAGAGGGCCTATCTTTCAATGGTAGGATAGTCTTGGCCAAGTTTGAAAGCCATTGGTATTATTAGTATCCTCTGATACCTCTTAAGAGCAATATAGCAGAATAATAAAAACAAGAACCTTTAAAAAATTGTGTTAAAATATAGATAACATCAAATTTTACCATTTTAACCATTTTTAAGTATACAGTTCTATGGCATTAAGTATATTCATATTGTCGTGCAGCTTTCATCACCATCCATCTCTAGAACTTTTTCATCTTCCCAAACTGAAACTATGTACTCAATCTTTAAACAGTAGCTCCCCATTGCTCCTCTCCCCCCAGCCCCTGGCAACCACCATTGACTACTCCCGGTACTTCATATAAGTAGAATCACACAATAGTTATCTCTTTGGTCTAGCTAATTTCACATAGTATAATGTCTTCAGAGTTCATCCATGTTGTATCATGTGTCAGAATTTTCCTCATTTTTAAGGCTCAATAGTATTCCATTGTATGTATATGCCATATTTTGTTTATCCATTCATCTGTCAATAGATACTTGGGTCGCTTCCACATTTTGGCTATTGTGAATAATGCTGCTAGGAACATGAGTATACAAATATTTCTTCAAGTCTCTGTTTTCAGTTCTTTTGGGTATTTACTTAGAAGTAGAATTGCTGGACCACATAGTAATACTATGTTTAATTTTTTTGAGGAACTGCCATACTGTTTTCCATAGAGGCTACACTATTTTATATTCCCATTGGCAATGTGCAGGGATTCTAGTTCCTCCATGTCCTCACCAACATTTATTATTTTCATTGTGTTGGTAGTAGCTATTCTAATGGGTATGAGGTGAATAGAAGAACCATTTAAGAGCTTTTGATTTGAAGCAGCAGATTTGATTAGCAGCAGAAATCATAGATTATAATTATTCTTTCTACATTGAGAAAACTGGGATCTAGAGAGATGAAGTGACTTGCCCAGGGTCACACACACAGCTTGTGGTGGCCTAGGTAACACTGGGGCATCTGATTCTCCTAGTCTGCTTTTTCCACTATATTCTTCCATCTCTCAAATTTCAGGACAGGCATCTGAGTTACTTCTCATTTTGGGCAAGATTTTTGCCAAGGTTATCAGATATTTTCTTCATATTTGATCAGCCTAAATAATAAAAGTAATAGCTAATAATAACAAATATTTTTTGAGTACTTATTTTATTCCGGGCCCTATTTTAGTGCTTTACATATGTTTACTCATTTAATCCTTGTAATAACACTACAAGGTAAATAGTTACATTATTTCCATTTTATAGATGAGAAAACTGAGATATGGAGAAGTTAGATAATTTACCCACAGCCATACAGCCAATGAATGGTGAGGTTGAGGTTTGAGCCCAGGTAGTCTGACTCCAGAGTTTCAGGTTATTAACCATAATTCTCAGATGTCACCAGTTGTAAAAAACTTGAGTGAGGTTCATCCGGCCACTGACAAGGTTCATCCGGCCACTGTTGCTTGGACGATTTCTGTGTGTGAGTGATAGCACTGACTCATGTGCAGAATCCTAGCTGTAATTTGCCTTTTGGTTCCAGTTGCTGAGTGTACTGAAATAGCTTAAAGGTGCTATGGCAGAGGAGTTGGTTTGGAGGTCAGTGAGCCTGACTTGAATGCTGGCTTCTCCACTTTCTGATTATATGGTTTCGTTCAAGTAACAGTTTCTTTATCAGTGTCCTTATCTCTCACATAAGATAACAGATAGTACCTGGTTCATCAGATGTTGGAAGAATTAAATGACAGCCCATGTAAGGAGTTAGGCCAGCCCCTGGCACTCGGTGACCCTTCGATGACTGTTAATTATTATTATAGTTCTTTAACATATTGATTTTACTAACTCAGTTTGATCTCTCTTCATCTTATTTAAATTGGTAAGGTCTTACTCTTTGTTATTCTCATTTTCCCCTGTATATTACTTAGTCAGAGTTGAATATCATAGTCAAGACTGAGCATGGGAGGAATATGGGATAAATTAATTGCAATATTATGTCTCTAAGTTCAGTGTTAAGTAATCCTGAGGTCCTGATTTAGCTAACTAAAGTGAACAAACAACCTTCGCATTATTTTGTGGAATTTATTACTGTCTTGCACATTCTACTCTGATTTCTTACCTCGGGTAGATTTGAGGGAGGAATAATCCTTAGAAGTCGCAGTTTTTACACTCTGCTTAGAACTTGATTGTGAATATGGAATGAAACAGATTTTCTTTCTAAAAAGTAGGACACTAATTTATATTTTAAATGAAAATTCATTTTGATTTTGATTTTTGCTCATGTAATAAGAATAGACAGGTTTCAGATTTTGACTGACGAAATGATAGCTTTTACAATTTGTTATGTGTCTTGGACTTTTAGAAGTTTTTTTGATGTGGCTTTTGGCTTCTTGCAGTTTTCTCCCATGTAGAGTCCTAAATATTTAATTATGTTTCCCTTTTTGTGCAGGATTTATCCTACTACTGTTGTTTGGAGTTGAAGGGCAAAGAGGAAGAAATACTAAAGGCACTGTCTCCAATGTGTAGCATAGACACAGGTAAACTTTTTTCAAAGCTGAGCCCTATTTTAGTCTTTATTTATTCATTTCATGAATAAGTGTCTGCTGTAAGCATTTTGGAATTTCAATACATGTAAAAATGTGTGAGTTCTTGTTCCTCATGAGTATGTTAATATAAGGAAAGCTTCGAGTAGCTTTTAAATAGTTTCTAACATTGTCAAATGTAAAATGAGAGAACCATTATTCTGGTGGAGTGAATTTAAACAGGAAGAAACTCAAAACTCATTAAATCATTCAATAAATGTTTATTGAGAACTTGTGTACCAGGCTTTGGGCTAAGCAGAGATTAAAACCAAAACTTCATCTCTCATAGAGAGAGACAATAGATAACAGTAGGGCTGTCAGGAAATAATACTGCAGTCTCAACACTTGAAATCATGCCATTTTGTTTTTGTTTATATCAGGATTGACTTTTGCAGCAGTTCACTGCTTGTCTGGAAAGCGCCAAGGTAGTCTCATGCTTTACCGGGCGAATAAATATCCCAGAGAAATGCTGGGGCCTGTTACATTTATTTGGAAGTCTGGCGACAGTGCCGAAAGCAGGCAGTTGTGGATCTGGCTTCACCCAACTCTTAAACAGGTATAAGCATTGAGATTATTTCTCCATCACTCATTATTGCATTCTTGATGACTGTTGGAAATCAATACCATAGAAATTTAAATGGTATAAAAGTTTGGCTAATGGCTTAGTATTTGAATATAAGGAAGAAAGTTGTGTGAATATTAATGAAGCAAATCTTGACGTCTTATTTTTTAGTAAGCCATAAGTAGAGATGAAAACCAACCTTATTATGAACATGGCTTAAAATAATTGCGTTTGGATGAACGAATGATTCTACTATGCCTGAATTGGTTCACTGGTATCTAGGTGCTTGTTAGAGCCTGTTTGATGATGACAAGCTGTTTTAAATATTTCTAATGATTTTTAGTACTAGATTTCGCTTTACTTCTCTCTCTTTAGCATACTCACTGCTTTTATATGCTAGACTGTACATTTTCTCCAATTTTCTCTTTAAAAGTTTTGTGTGTCTGTGTATATGTGTGTGTTTTTAATTTAGTCAGAGCAGTCGTGTTGTTTTTATCCATCTTTGGCAATTAGGTGTTCTTTTTTTGGTTCCACGTGCTATATACTACTTAGAAGAACTAAAAAAACTTGATGATAAATTTAATTTGTGAAGGGATAAAAATGTAAATTTTTAAAGGGAGAAAAAATAACAAACTAAACCACCTTAAATTTGTAATGTATTTAAATTTCAAAATTTTAAAGTAAAATGTTTAAATATATCCTTAGGATATTTTAGAGGAAATAAAAGCAACGTGTCAGTGTATGGAGCCCACCAAATCAACTGTTTGCATCCCTGACCCCCTTCTGACACCATCCCAAGAAGAAAGCCAAACCGCACTGCCTGATGAGAAAATTGTCAAGAAAAGAAAACGGAAAGATGATGGAGAAAATGCTAAGCCAATTAAAAAATTTATCGGTGATGGAACTAGAGATCCACATCAACCGTATTCTTGGCTCTCTCCAACCACAGGCATTCTCATCAGGTACAGGTCGAATTTGCTCTGAACATTTTCAGTGAAGACTTGCTCCATTTTTGCCATTGGCACAGACATCATGTATGATGGAAATTTCCATTTTAAGACCTTTTCTCTCTTTCAGTGATTTGACAATGGAAATGAACAGATTCCGGCTGATTGGTCCACTTTCCCACTCCATCCTAACTGAGGCACTAAAAATTGCTTCTGTCCACACTGTAAGATTAAATGTGACAGTAATGTTTTATTCTAGTCATGTCCTTCTTAGCAAACTTGTGAAAACTAACATAATTTGGTACTGTTTATTGGCTGTGGCCTGTGAATGTTTCTCTACTTATGCTTATCGTTGAGGACTTTGTCATCTCGCTTCTCCTAGAAGAGCAAATCCAAATGAATGTAATATATAAACTACCGTGCTCTTATTTAAGTACAGACTATTCTTGCAGTAAGTTTTGTAGAAGGGTCTTAACCTTTGCTTCATAAGTAGGTAACAGAGAGCTCCTGGAATCTCTGGAAGTGTGTACCATTTTTTTGGTTTGTACTTGTGTGATGCATATTTTCAGGGGCTAGTTTTACAGGTCTGTGATGCCTAAAAGGTTAAGAGCAATTATGTCTTGTGCAGCACTGTCCAGTAGAACTTTCTGCAAGGATGATGTTTCTCTGTGCCATGCAGTATGGTAGCCACTAGCCACATGTAGCTGTTGAGCACTTGAAATGGGGCTAGTGGGACTGAGGAACTTAATTTGTACCTTTATTTAACCCAAAATTAAATTCGAATAGCTCTCTGTGTCTAGTGGCCCCCATGTTGACAGCACAGGTTTACAGGGGAGAGACTGGATTGGGAATCAAACACTCTGGGTTCCCATTCAGTTTGTTTTGTTGTATTAGTGCAATGGACTTTCCAGTGCCTGTGCCTCTCGCAGATTTGACGTGGTCAGATATGATGATAGATCTGAACAGCTTTTGAACTTTCAGAAAAAAAACATACTTTGAAAAATCAAAGGCTACTTCTCTCTCTCTTGGTCGCTTCCACCCTAGCTCAACTATTGTGTCTCTTGCCTGAATACTGAAGCCCTGTCTTGACTTCCCTCCTTTGTTCCCGGCTTTCACTCCATTCTCTGTACAGGAGGCAGAGTGATCTTTTAACAATTTATTCACATCATGTTTCTCTGTGATTAAAAGCTTTTGAATTGCTTCTCCTTGTATTTGAGATAAAACCCAGAACCCTTCATGTGACTGTGTAATCTCCTGCCTTTCTGCCTCTTCTCGCCTCTCTTTCTTCTGCTCTTCAGCCACCCTGGCCTCCTTGCAGTTCTAGAATGTGTCAGATCTTGTCTCCCTTAGATCCTTTGAACCTGCTTTTTTTCCCACCTGCTTGAACATTCTGCCCCCACCACTCTTTGCTTGGCCAAAACCTTCTTCATTCTTCAGGTTCCAACAGTTTTTCCTGATTCCTCAAGTTAATTATATCCCTTCTGTAAATTATATTGCATCTTGCACATTTCCTCAATTTTTATGTCTAGCTATGTTTGTGTCAATAGACTGAGCTTTGTGATGGCAGTTACAGGGTTAGTCCTGTTCTTTCCTCCGTCCCCAGTGCTTAGCCCAGGAGCCTGGCACAGACTAGGTGCTCTACTCCAGCTGAATGAGTTGTAGACCAAGGAAGTTTGGTTCTAGAGCCCGTACTCTAAACCACTAAGCTATGCTACCTGAGTATTTGAGATAAGTGGCACATATGTTACAAGTTGCTTTAGAATCTAGGAGCACATTCTACTTCAATGAATTTCAGGATGAATCATGGCCATAGGCTCTCTTCCATGGCATGCATCTAGTACTTTTTGAAACCTTGCTCCATTTTTGGTTTTGTCTGGAAAAAAATATATATAAAATACTTGTGTATCCTATTCAAAATTTCTTGGAATACTAGTCATAATATATCCTTTTGCCAAAGATTTCTTCAAAAGGTATGGGTTTGGTTTTTCTGTAGTGAGGAAGGTTTTATTGCTTGAATTGGTGGTGATGAAGTTCGTAATAGTGGGAGAGAAATAAGAAGCAAGGCTGCTGGCATTGTGCTCAAGAGAGACCACAGGTGTGAAGTAGCTTAGTTAGGTAGTCTCCAAAAACCATGGCTGTTTCTCTTAGTACGTGAAATCTTAACAGAAATCTTGACTTTGCCTTTAATAGAAAAGTAGTCTGGTTTTAATTACTGTGTAAAATATAGTGGCAATTTCCCTGGTTCCTCCCATAAAATGTTATTTCCAAATACAGAAAAATGTGAGGGGGTACTGTCACAACCATGACAAAATTGCTGAGTGTGATTCATTATTTATTTGGTGAACAGGGGTTGTTATTTTTCAGGAGGAAGAGGACACAGAGAAGACACCTCACCATTGGTGGGTTGAAACCTGTAAGAATGCTGATAGCGTTTCTCTTCACCACAGACAAGGAGCCATGTTTGAATTGTTGGGAGGTACACAGAGGGGCTACTGGGTTGTACTAGGAAAGGAGGGAACAGTAGAAAGTGGGTTAAAAGAGTGTTTTGCAGTTGGACTACCTACATGTAGTGGTGCTTTTTAACTTGTAACTTTGTTACAATGTAGCAAGAATGCAAGTAAGAGAGGTGCCTAAAATCAGTAAACAGTGTAAATACTATTTGAGTTTGCTCATGAAACAACAAACAAATGAGATGTTAGTATTCTAAATAACTGGCATTCTGATAGATAACTGCATATTCCGGGTACCAAACTGAAATCTGATATTATAGATAAATGCATATACCAGGCACCTATGCATGAGTGCTTTGTGCATGAGGCTACTGTAGTCACCGTTGATAGACACAAGTTTGTTGCTGTGAAATAATCTGTTAATTTAAATTTTTTTGTACGAAACTTCACTCTTTATGAATGTTAATTCTCTAAAAGTGTCAATGGGGAAAAAAGATTTTTAAAAATAAATCGCCCAAGGAGAAAGTTTCAATTTGAAAATACAAGCAAATATATATACATTGTGAACGACTTTCTTTAAGCTTGGCTTTTTTTGTTTGTTGTTAAAGGAATAACATCACCAGCAGAAATTCCGGCAGGTACTATCTTGGGACTGACAGTTGGGGATCCTCGAATAAATCTGCCTCAAAAGAGGTCCAAAGTTTTGCCCAATCCAGAAAAATGCCAAGGTAAAGTTCTTGAAACACCTCTGGTTTTCCTTACTATTTTGAGCAGTCTAGTCTAGAAGAGTTGTTTCTGACACCTCTGCAGTAACTTCATCTGTAGTAAATTAGGACGATCTTTACCTGGCTACTTTCAAAATAGTTATGATCAAAGGAGATGATATGGGCGGGCGGGGGGGAATCTTTTATCTGTGAAATATGTAGCCTGATCCTTATGTTCATTTTTTTTCTGAGTTTTTTATTTCGGGTATCTAGTAAAACCTGTCTCTCTGCAAACTGGGTTCTCTGAAAATCTCCGGCCCGGCATTTCAGAATTTTAATTGTGAGGAAGGGCTGTTCACCTGCAGCTGGTCTTGTGCTCATTGGAAGCCTCTGTCTGACCATACAGATGATCCAGGTTCGAATCCTGGCAAGGCCATCCCAGGTGCTGAAGGGTAAGAGGTCTGTTTAGACTCAGTCGAGTGGCCTGAGGGAGTCATTTGGCCAGGGCAGCAAAGGAGGGCGGGTAGAGCTGGCTAAAGCTTTAGTCTGATCTGGGATTTGCCACAGTTGTGATAATGTCCTGTTGTATTTACTGTCATTTAAATATAGTTAATTTGGAAGAATCATTAAAATTAACTTGTGAATTTTTGGAGAAGAAATACAGGTGTATGTAGTAACAACTTTAGAATTTCTTTTTACCTCCATGTGTAGTTAGATAGCTTAATAAGGGGGCAGTAAATTACTCTGTCAGAACTTCACATGAAGGGTGGATTGGATGAGAGAGAAGGTTAAAGATATACAGGTAAGTTAATTATGGAGTCTAAGACTTTAATGAATGAATTGTGTCACTTTGGTGACTATTACAATCACCTTAAGGCTATAGTTAAACTCTAGTTTCTCTTGCTGCCTCAAATCCTTTTTTGGTATGAGGCAGTTTTGTATTAATCCTTTCTAAGGCTTTTATCTTGATATGAATCAGTTCAAAGAAGATTAAAGTCTTTCTTAGAAAACATGATTTTATTTCTATTATAAAAGCTTATCACCTTGTTAGTCATTGTGGACTTTCATTAAAACCTGTTTTAAGTTATTTCTTTGAAGACGTATTGGCGTGTGAGCTTCATAAAGAAGTAAACTTTTTAAGGAGGTTGTATACCAATGTTATTAACAAATTAAATGTCAAGGTAAGAAATGTCCAAACCTGTAGAGAATTTTTATAAAGAGTTTATTTGAGTCAAACTGACGACATATGCTGGAGAGCAAGATCTCAAATGCTTCGGAGAATAAGTTTCATCTTCTTTTATGCATTTGAAATTAAGGAGGGAACATGAGGAATATTGGATAAAGCAAGGTAGAGGATTGGATTACAGGATAGTTAACAAGATTCCGTGCTCTCTCCAGGGTTAATACCCTCTTCCATGGGTATTACATCTGGTATTTCATACCTTTGAAATTACTTCTGGTATTTCATACCTTTGAAATATCAGAAGTAATACCCATGGAAGAGGGTATTAACCTAGATGCACAAGAACAATGGACAAGGCTGGCTTTAGGCAAAAATAAACATTTTACTAAAAACGTCATATGCCTGCAGGTGACTGACTACCCACCGTGACCTGCCCAGTTAGGAATTTATGATCAGATCACCCTGTGAGGTTAATTTCCATAAGAACCCCTTTTTTCATCCACAGTTATATATCACTTAGGAAGACAATTCAAAACTAAAGTTACAAATATACTTTGATGAGCTGGGTCAATTAATAAAAGATTAATCCTTGGAAGAATCTCCCTGTCACAATGATCTAAAACCCAATTCTCTGACATACTTCCAGTCTGTCTATACCTGAAGTCATTCTTTGCCTGTTTTGAATTAGACAAAACCGACCAATTCTGGTGTTACTTAACCATAAAGAAGGGTTTGCCCAATTTGGGTAACAAACTCTTTATCTTCTATGTGTACTGGGAATTCGAGAGTTCTGATAAGAAGGTACATGACTATGATATTGACATAATAAGAAATATATATTTTGGTCTTTGTCTAGATGTGCCTTTCCTGCCACATACCTTCTAAAGCCCTTGTAATTTTCTAAGTGGTAAGAGCCTTAAAGGTTCTTGTTATTCATAACAAGCCCCTTTCAAACACACCTGAGTTTATGTTAATGAGGTGACTTGGAAAGCCCCTAAAGATGGTGGGCTAGTTGGCAGGGGAACCATCAGTGGGATTAGAGGCTTTGAACTTTCAGCCCCGACCTCTTCCAGGGCGAGGAGAGGGGCTGGAGATTGAGTTTAATCACCAATGGCCAATGATTTAATCAGTTGTGCCTACTTGATAAAACTCAAATAAAAATGGAATTCAGAGAGCTTCTGGTTTGCTGAACGTGTGGAGGTGCTGGGAGGATGGAGTGCCAAAAGGGGGCGTGGAAGGTCCGCCCTCCTCCCATTCTCTGCCCTGTGCATCTGGCTGTTCCGGAGTTGTCTCCTTTTATTAAAAACAAAACAACAAAAAAACAAATGTAGTAAGTAAACTATTTTACTGAGTTCTGGGAAGCATTCTAGCGAATTATTGAAGAGAGGGAGGGGTTCTTGGGTCCCAGTTTCTAGCCAGTTGGTCAGAAGTACTGGAAGCTGGGACTTGCGACTGGTGTCTGAAGTGGGAACAGTCTTGTTGGACTGAGCCCTTAACCTCTGGGATCTGATGATATCTCCAGGTAGATAGTGTCAGAATTGAGTTAAATTGTAGGATACCCAGCTGGTGTTGGAAATTGTTTGCTGTGAGAAAAACACCCACACACTTGAGTGTCAAGTATTGAGAGTACAGTAGTGTAACCGAGCAAGGAGATCGTCCACTTTGTGCTGCAGATGGCCAATTATGCCGGCACAGATGCAGTGAAAGAAAGTGGTGTCTACTGTATAGCGCTACACGATAGAGAACTGGATGGAAAAACATATACTCCTCCATGGTTCACGGGCAAAGAGTTTTATAGAGCGAAAATTGCAGGTCCTCATAAGTAAAGGGTTTGAGATTGTTGGTCTTATTGATTGGTTAAGAGTGAAGTAAGGGCAATAAATCTGTTTCAGGTCTTGAGGTCAATTTAGGAGTCCTTCAGTCTGGTTTCATGAGATGTGGCCAGGTGGTCATCCTGCTTTAGGGCACAGGAGCTGAAACACAGCTTAGGCCATGCGTTATCTTTAGCTTAACAGAAACCCATACCTTGTGACCCTTACTCAAGGCATGGTCATTGTTTCTGGCTGCCTCAAGGGGTTGATGACTAGTAAGGGAAAGGGCCAAGGCTTACAGGGCAAGCTGTGAAGAAACTGAATAGAGCGCTGGGCTACATATTAAATCAAAGTCATACATTAGGCAGGACCTCCGGTTTCCGTTGGTCGTCTGCTCTGTGGCCTGAAAAACAGTTTAACAATGCATGTTCCTAGGTTATCTTATCTAAGGGGTAGAAGCTATACATCTTTAGACCAATGTATAGTATTATTATTTCTGCTGTCTTGCTTATTTAGACACCCTCATCCCCACCCCCAGTCTAACAGGCCTTGGGCTAAGCAGTTTCTAAAATGGTTAACAGGGTGCTATGTGACTTCCTTCTTGCAGCTGTTACTCCAACTAGCATACAAGCTTTTTTTTAAAAGATATTTTCTGAGGGGATCTTAGCTCCTCAGTTTCAGTAGTAACAGTACAGAGAAGGAAACAGTTTGCTCTTTCAGTGAAGAATGTGAAGCGATGATGCATATTCTTAGATGCTTTGAAAAGTTTACTTGATCACTTAGTTCTTGAATTTGAATTATATATGGGTTTTTACAAATCTTTTCAACTTTATTACCACAGCATTTCCCTATGTAAATAACTGGTTTTCTGAGCAAGGTTTTAAAATGTAATTTCTCCTATAGTCTCTGCTATTTTAGTATTTGCTCTCTTTACCATTTGCTAATTTGCTTTGCTGCATTATTTTAACTAGTCTTTGTCTTTCATTGTGCTCATGGGCTTGTTTTAATCTTTTTCTTTATATACGCTTTGGTAGTGTGTACCCAGAACACAGAGTCAATTGCCTTTAGATGATTGCAAGTCCTTTTAGAACACTGATCTGCAGTTGATTTTCAGAAGTGCCCAGTTATCAGTCATTTTGCCATGACTTCTCTGTTTCTGCTTTTGGGAGAAAAAACCCTGTTAGCTTCAACCAGGTCCCTTTAACTATTCTGCATATTAAATTTAAAATACAGTTTGAAGACTGTGACTATGGTTTATTCGATTTCCAATGATAAAGCTTTTTTATTAGTTTCCTTACTTCTCTAAGTAAAATATTAAGTTTTCATTTAAAATTTGATGATCTTCAGGTATATTTTAGAAAGGATAAAAACTATTTCCTTCAATTTTAAAAGATACAATTCTAGAGCTATATAGTCAGTTATTTGTCTGTATAGGAAAGAATATATGTTAGTCTTGGAGGAAGGAATTAGTATTGCATTCAGAATTCATAGTCGTTCTGGGTACACTGAGGTGTGTGCTGACTCAGTTGGTAATGTTCTTTTATCTCACTTAGTGAAGACTATTGACCTAAAAAGGGCTTCTCCTTTTCCTTCAGACATAATTTACTGTTTTAAATAGACTTTATATTTTAGAACAGTTTTTAGGTTCACAGCAAAATTGAGTGGAAAGTTCTATATATTTCTGCCCCTCACATGCACAGCCTCCCCTCCATCAACATCTTGCACAAGAGAGGTACATGTTACAGTCTGTGAACCTACACTGACATGTCGTTATCACTCAAAGTCCATTGTTTACATGTGTGTTATATACTCTATATCACTCTTGGTGTTATATATTCTCTGGGTTTGGGCAAATTTGTATTGACAGGTAGCTAATATTACATAGCGACATGAGCTTGACATGCTGCCATTATAGCATCACATGGATCATCTCTCTGTCCCAAGTCTGCTGTGCTCCACCTATTCATTCCTCCCTCTGTCCCCTCAGTCCCCCATTTACTGTCCCAGTAGTTTTGCCTTTTCCCAGAATGTCATGTAGTTGGGATCTCACTGTATGTAGCCTTTCACACTGGCTTCTTTCACTTAGTAATGTGCATTTAAGTTTCCTCCATGTCCTTTTATGGCTTGATAGCTCATTTCTTTTTCTGAATAATATTCCATTATCTAGATGTATCACCTACTTTGTTTTATTTATTATTATTTTTTAGAGTATCTGCTGATGAGGTTGTGCTTCCCTAGGCCTTCACACCCTAAGTATCAACCATCTTTTTTGTTGGTGGTGGTGGTGGCGGTGACCCCGACGTGACATGAACACGTCAGTCATCTCTTTTGTCTGCAGCCAAGTCTGAATAAAATGCCATTTCTGTCCCTCAAATCTGCGGGGGCACCCCACAGGGAAGTGTTCCCGGTAGACAGAGGCTGTTTGAAATGAGCTCGTCGGCCTGTGCTGTGTGAACTCAGCACAGCACTGATACCTGAGCCACTGTTGGTCGCCACCTCCGTGAGGAAGAGCAGTGCGCTGGGAGCCGTTGCTGCTTTTCATTTCACATCTTTTCATCAATTTAATTTTTAAAATTTTCTTCTCCCCTGAGATCTGTCATATTACGGCCCAGTCACTTCCAACTTTTTTTTTTTTTTTTTTTTTTTTACAGCCGTCAGACCTACGCAGGTATGTGTCTTCACATGACCTTTCTGTGTTGGCATTTCAGGACCAGAGTCCAAACTCATGTATTGTCTGACTTTTTATTTTAATTATTCAGTCCAACAAAATAAGATTTGGAAGACTTTCCTCCGTAGCGATTGAACGACTACATGTAGGAAGTTTCTTCTGTCAGTGTATATATGTTTATAACTGAAAAAGTTCCTCCTCCTTTCCCGCTAATGTAGTATTTGGCATGGCGGAGCTTACGTAAAGGAATGAAATAATACATTTCACAGAAAATATGCTCATTTTAAAGGAATTAAAAAGTATGTTTTATAGAAAGGAATAAATATTCAGTTCAATGAAAATGGATTATCAGAGATTAAAATAAAAGGGCTGAAGAAAAGGATGGTATCTGTTCTCTCACCACCATTGGGCCAGGAATGACATAAAGGGCCTCAAAACCAATAGTTAACATATGGTTTGTGCTGTCACCGCATATTATCAAGAAACTTATTACCTCTGCAGTGGTTTCTAAGACAGTATTTGTCTTAAATGTGGAATTAGGCAGTTATTTAAAGGCAATTTTATGTGATATTTGTGTCTTCTACAGTAAAAATAAATGTCAAAAGATAAGTTTTGGAGCCTTTGCTATTTCACTGATTGCAAAACCTACTCTAAGAATAACTTACTATCTAGTCCAGTAAATACTTCTAGAGAAGTTACGTGCCTGTAAAGTGTTTTCTTGTAACAAAAGGTCAACCAATAACATTTAGAGTTTGACTTCATTGATCTAAAGGATGTCGTTTGAAGGCTATTTCTTTTCCCTCTTAGATAATGAGAAAGTTAGACAGCTGCTTCTGGAGGGTGTGCCTGTGGAGTGTACACATAGCTTTATTTGGAACCGAGCTATCTGTAAGAATGTCACAGAGAATAAAATCTCGGATCAGGTAACTAACTAATGGTGTAAAGATTATTGGTAAAGTCATGAAGATAGGTTGAAATTCATCACTCAAGAGACTGTGAAAGTTACTTCATACTTTGTAGAATCCTGTTGACTTCCTTTTACTTTCAAACAATTTATTGGTCCCTTATGATATATATATATATAGATATATATATAGGGTTTTTTTTCTGTTCTTAGAGAAGAATTATTTCTAGAAAAGTTAATACAAAGACCTTTTCTTGAAATAATAATCTCATGGTTTAAATACATGTTTTTCTTTGATTGTTTTTTCCCCCTAGAGTGTTTTCTGTCTTTATTTGTTCTCTTGTCTTAATTTCACAATGGTTGTGCTCTTACCAAGACCAGGTATAATATTAGATGTTGGGGTAGTTGACTAGGATATGGTCAGAGCAGTACAGGGTACAAAGGAAGCCCAAAGAAGGGGTATTAAGCCCAGACTACGGAAATTAGGGAATGCTTCCTGGATGGAGGAGCTGGTATTTGAGCTGACTCTTAGGTGGTGGTTAGAATTAACCAGACTTCTTGGGGCCAAGGGCCAGGGACCAAAGCTGCTGTAGAGAAAGGATTGCCGGAAGTAAGAACAGCATGTGCAAGTGCCCAGGCCAAAAACAGGATGTATTCAGGAATCTCCAAGTACATCAATATCTTGGAGTCAAAGGTGGGGCAGGAGATGAAACTGGAGAGATAATAGGGACCAGAACATAAAACACCTTGGGGAATTTTAAAGATTTGGACTGAATAGGTAAGGTACCATTGAAGGTTTTAAGCTGGGCCATGACAGGGTCAGATTTCACTCCAGCAGCACTGTAGAGGGTGGATGAGACTAGGGATAGGGATTTGGGTGGAGGAGCTGGAGAGAGGACTTGTGGTTGGATGGCTTTAAGGGAGACCCTGGAAATAACCCATGATACATAGGACACGATAGGGGCTTGAATTATGGGCGTGTGGCTGTAGGGCAGGCGCTGGGATTTAGTACATCTTCCTGGAGGGCAAAATCAACATGATTCAGTGGTTGTTTGGAAGATGGGTGGTGCGAAAGGAGGCTGCTTGTAGATTAGCTCCTAAAGGTCTAGCTTGGGTCGAGGAGCTAAGCTGAAAGAGAGCCAGAACCAGTCTGACTTACCACTGCTGCGTTCCCGAATTCTAGAAAATCGTTTGGCACATAACAGGTGCTCAGTAAAAATATTTGAGCGAATGACTTAATGAACAGTAAATATATGAATGAATGAATGAATGAATGAATGAATAAGGGAATGAACTCAGTATTGTGGCATCTTTCAGCTAGCTGGGGAATACAGAAGGAGAGTGAATGCAGTGGGCAAGATGGGTTTAATCTTGGATAAATTCAGTTTGGGGGCCCTCAGGACTTCCCAGGAGCAGAGTCCGAGGGAGAAGTTTCAGTCCCAGGGGGAAAAGTCAGGGCTCAAAGATAGATATTTTGGGATCGCAGACGTGTACATGGTAGTGGGAACTAACCAAAAGTGAAAAAGGAGAACCAGGACTTGGTCATGGCTTGAGGAGCATCCGTGAGGAGCGGTTAGACTTTGCAGTGTGGAGACATTTTTTTATTTATTTTTTTTATTTCTATTTTTCAATTAGAGTTCTATTTTTCAATTCAATATTTCGTTATTTTCAGGTGTACAGTGTAGTGCTTAGACATATAATTTACAAAGTGATCTGATGAGGGGACAGTCTCTTGGGTGGTTTTCTCTGTTGAATGACAGGCCGCTTTCATACCTGTTCATCTCTTTTTACAGCTGGCAAGAAAAGTCCGAGAGGATGTTGTTACCTAGGCCCTACTGTCCACATAACAAATAATGTATAGTATCTTCTATTTTAAGACCTGGCGAGAAATTTTCTCAAGAGCTAGAATATTTTTCCATTTTCCCTTCCGTGAGAAGGTGTTAATTGTACTTTTTGACAGCAAATCTTAACCAAAATAAATGTAGGGACAGTATAAAAATATAAGATTAATCATGATATAAGAGATTGGCAGAATGAATGTATGTTATTTTATAACTTTGAATCATCTAGTATATTCTACCCTAATTTAAGATAATTTGGCATTTTCTACCAAACACTTGTATAGAGGAAAATTGTTGTAGGAGGAATACCTCATACTTAAAATGGCTCACATTTATTTATTTTCTAAAGCTTCTTATAGGGAGACCCAGTAGACTCTCCTAGAAGACTAGGGTTGTTTGTCTTGAATTATTTTCTTCCACTTTAGGATTTAAACCGGAAGAGAAGTGAATTGCTGGTGCCTGGGTCACAGCTTGTTTTAGGTCCCCATGAATCCAAGATACCTCTACTTTTGATTCAGCAGCCGGGAAAAGTGACTGGTGATGACCGACGAGGCTGGGGAGGTGGCTGGGATGTCCTCCTACCAAAGGGCTGGGGCATGGCTTTCTGGATCCCATTGGTAAGTTCTTTTTTGATTTTAAGAGTTGCAGCGTTTAAAATACATTCTTAATAAATACTCAGGGCTGAAAACATTCCAAACTTTATGCACAATTTAGAAACTGAGTGCTCTTTTTCTGCCCTTAGAGCTATAGTTCTGATACAAGATACTTTATAAAGTCCCTGGAACTAGGTTTTTATTTATAGGAGTTGTAGTGACATAGTGTTTATTTTTGAGATTTTAAAAGTGGCCTGAGTTTTGCATAGTAGTGGCAACAAAATATAGAGTTTGTTTGTTTGTTTGTTTTGTCACGAGGAAATTTATTAAAGTTGAAAAGCAATTTTTATAATTTTCTAATTTTTATAGATATATAGAATATATTTTTGTTTTTTAAGTGCTGACCACATTTTATTAATTGAAGCTAAATATTTCATTAAAATCTAATGTGTGAGGATTTTTTTGGTAGGTATAAATATTTTGAGCTAGAGAGTATTAAAGACATGTGAGGCTGTTAAATTCATGCAGATAATTATTTTTAGTGGTTATGTTAGTGCAAGGGACATTCAGCTAATCATTTAGGAGTAATAAAAATAATTCAGATTTTTAAATTGTGAAATGTTTCAAGCATACAAAAAGTATAGATATTAATATCATGAACGTCTGTGTATCCTTCATCCACCATCCAGCTTAAGAAATAAAACATTACACGTTCATTGGAAGCACTCTGTGTCCCTCCAATTCCATTTCCCTCCCTCCTTCTAAAAGAATCACTGTTCTTGTTTTTGGTGTTTGTCATTATCACGCATGTTTTTATAGCTTTCTCTTTTTCTTTTTTTCCTTTTTTAAATTTTTTTTTATTATGGTGACACTGGTTAACGAAGTTTCAGATTTTATAGCTTTTTAAAGTATGTTTGTATCCCAAAACAAAATAACTATATTTGATGTATTTTTAAATTTTATATACTTCACTGTACATATGCTTTTGCAACTTGGTATATTCACTTAATGTTGAGATTTTTCCCTGTTGATTGATGAAGCTCTAGTTCATTCATTTTTACTATCGTATGGTAACCCGTTGTAGGTTTTCCCACAATGCATTTATCTATTTTCTTTTCAATGGGCATTTAGGTTGTTTCCCATATTCCCCATATAAACAAACAATTTCACTTTAAGTTGGTTATTGATAAGATCTGTTTGACATTTCTTGTAGATCTATCGAGGTGCAAGAGTTGGAGGATTAAAAGAGGCTATAGTGCATTCTCAGTATAAAAGGTCACCTTACATCCCAGGCGATTTCCCAGACTGCCCTGCTGGAGTTCTCTTTGCTGAAGAGCAAGCCCAGAATCTTCTTGAGAAGTACAAAAGGTAAGAAATTGGCTTCTCCAGTTTGATAATGTCTTAAGAGGAAGAGAAGTGCCTAGTCATACTGGTCAATAATGTTTAGAATGGCTTTCGTAACTCTTACCATATAGCGTGGAGTTTTCAGAGGCTTTTCTTTGAGTTCAGCATTACCGAGACATAACTAGGTCAGAAGATTGTCTTATATCTGGCTTTTATAGGCCTATCCGGGCTACAAACTCTTCTCTTGGTCATTTGCTTACATCAATAATGATGTATACCTGAACTAGAGACGTGAGTTTTAGGTGCTTGTTAGTAGATTCTCAGTCATCCCCCTCAGAATGGTGTTTTTTATAACTGGTTATAGAGGTAATACATATTAATGGAAATGCATAAAAATACTTTATAAATTGGTGTATTCCTTCCATCCAAAGACATAAGCGCTGTCATTACATTTAGGTTTCTCTGTATCTACACTTTTTTCCTTGCTGTTCCCTCCCCCCATTGGGGGAGTGGCCAGTGAGGAGCTTTATTTCCTTTATACTGTGAAGTACATGCTAATATTGGGAAACCTGTATTTCCCGCTAAACGTAGGCTCCTGGAAGTACAGAAAGTCTTTTGCTTGTTGTAGCATCTGCAGTACTAGCCAGTGCCTGGCACACAGTGGGCTTAATAACAGTTATTTGTTGACCAATGAATGAGTGAATAATTGAATGTTGTAGTTCCTTGACTCTGAGCTCCACAATTGTGCTTTCTTGTTCACTCTGCAATCACAGAGACAGGCAGTGCCTGGTTTTCCAACTGTTAAATGATGGATGAATGACTGAATGAGTAAATGAATGAATGGGCTATGTTCCTGGATTGTTAACTTGAGGGCAGTGATCCTGTGTTGTATGTCCTTGTGCCTCCTATAATATTTAGCTGAGGGTCTTCTATGTGTTCATTAAATTGTAATAGTCAATAATATTTATTTCCCACCCTTTAGACATTTTTATGCATACAAATTTTTTATGATACAAATTTTTTCGAAAGAATATTATACATAGTAGTTCGAAACCAGCTTTTTTCATTTAATAATACATTATTAAGTGTTTTCCCATATCAATAAATATGACTCTTAACCAAGTGTTTGTGAACTTTTCTGTAAAGGACTAGATGATAGCTGTTTTTGGCTTTATGGGCCCTTTGGTTTCCATGGCAACTGTTCTACTTTGCCATTGTGGTGTAAAAAGCAGCCACAGATACATAAACAAATGAACATGGCTGTGTTCCAGTCTCACTCTATTTATGGATGCTCAAATTCGAATGTCGTATAATTTTCACATGCCATAAAATATTCTTTTGTTTGTTTTCAGTCATTTAAAAATGTAAAAAAAACCATCCTTAGTTCATGGGTCATATATGGGCCAGGTTGGGCTTGTGAGTCATAGTTAGCCAACTCTTGCTTGAAATATAACTGAGTGGCTGCACAGGACTCCAGTATGGATGCATTACAATTTACCAGTGGCTCTTTAATTATTTCTGAATTTTTGCTATGTACTTCTCTGAACAGTTTTCCATATGTATCTTTATGTATTTGTCTGGATTTATTCATTTAGCGCATCTGTTTAGAGCCTATTATGTGTCAAACACCTTTCTAAGTGCTGACACTATAGCGGGGAAGGCAGACAAAATCTGTTTTTGCCATCATTGAGCTATATTTTTATTAAAATATAATTAACATACAATATTATATTAGTTTCAGGTGTACAACATAGTTATTCAGCATTTATATACCTTATGAAGTGATCACCACAATAAGTCTAGTCACCATCAGTCACTGAACAGAGTTATTATAATATTGATTACATTCCCTGTGCTGTACATTGCATCCTGTGATTGACTTATTTTATACCTGGAAGTTTTGTACCTCTTATTCCCTTTCTCCTTTTCATCCTTCCCTCACCCCTTCCCTCTGGAAACCATCAGTTTGTTCTCTGTATCTGTGAGTCTGTTTCCGGTATTTTTTTGTTCGTTCATTTGTTTTGTGTTTAGGTTCGACTTTTAAGTGAAATTATATGGTCTTTGCCTTTGTCTGATTTATTTCACTCAGCATAATTCTCTCCAGTCAATCCAAGTTGTTGCAAATTGCAAGATTTCATTCTTTTTGATGACTGAGTAGTATTCCATTATGTGTATGTGTATGTGCATGTGCACGCATGTGTGCACACACCACTTCTTTATTCATTCATCTATTGATGGACACCTGGGTTGCTTCCATATCTTGGCTATTATAAATAATGCTACAGTGATCATAAGGGTGCATGTATCTTTTTGAATTAGTGTTTTTGGTTTGTTTTTTTTTTCAAGTGCCCAGAAGTGGGTCATATGGTAGTTCTATTTTTAAATTTTGAGGAATCTCCATACTGTTTTCCATAGTAGTTGTACCAATTTGCAACCTCATCAACAATACATGAGAGTTCCTTTTTTTCACATTCTTGCCAACACTGATTTATTGTCTTTTTGATAATAGCCATTCTGACAGGTGTGAGGCGATACCTCACTGTGGTTTTGATTTGCATTTTTCTGATGATTAGTGACATTGAGCATCTTTTCATGAGTTTGTTGTCCGTCTGTATGTCCCCTGGAGAACTATTCAGGTCCTGTGCCCATTTTTTAATTGGATTTTTCTGATGTTGAGTTGTATGGTTTCTTTATATATTTTGATATTGGCCCCTTATAAGATATATCATTTGCAAAGATATTTTCCTATTCAATGGGTTGCTTCTTTGTTTTGTTAATGGTTTCCTTCGCTGTGAAATGAGCTTACATTCTTGGTGGAAGCACATGTGTCCAAGCTGGTGGGAAGGATCCAGGAGAGCAGAGGGAGGCTAAAATTGCAAGAGCAAAGTCCTAGAGTTGGAAGACTAGGTGACATCCAGGGCAGAACATTTTGCTGTTCATCCCCTAATCAGTCCAACAATCCATCTTATTTTTGATGCATTTCAAAGTAAGGCATTCGAGAGGATCAGGCTCAGTCCTCTCATTTTAATAGGCTGGAAGGATTACTCTGAAATGTGAACACAGATTTTTGGGAGGTTAGACTCTGGTGGAGAGGTTCAGTCGTACTTGGTGACCATTTTCTCTGTAAAAAAGAGCAAGATTATAATAGCTAAGAATAAGAAAAGGAGAGAGGCTGTCAGAGATTTGAGGAGGGGAATCAAAGTAAACAGTTTTCTGGGAGGGTAGAAGATAGAACCGACTGGAGAGATGGGAGAGATTTGTAAGAAATGGAAGCAAGTCCACGCGAGTATCGTCAAGACCATTCATGACCGTCGTGTACGCTTCCCTAGCTATGTTCTGCCAGTCAGGTGCTGCCATGGGATAGATGGCAGTTAGAAAGTAACCAGAGCGGGCTCTGCCCGGTTTATGTGAGGAACCGTGGCATCTAAGCTTGTGAGGAGAGAGATGTGAGAATGGTGGGGAGCGGTGAGGAAGTGGTAAACCATGAGGAGGTTCCAGTGGTCGAGGGATTGTTTTGGAGGAGAGTGAAGTGGTCTGGAAAAATAGAAGGCATCACTCTGAGTGAAGGATACTTGAAATTGAGATTTTAAGGTGGAGCAGCTATTAGCAGTGACCAAAACGAAGGTGTGGCCAAGAGAGTGGGTGGTCGAGGTGGGGTGAAATGAAAGATGTGAAATGAGGATTTGAAGTTTCTGGTAGGCCAGGGTGTTAGAAGGGTGATATGTTAGCTGCTGAAGCCACTGAGAATGACAGGAGTGTGACGGAGGGGAGGACAGTGGGGCAGGTGAATGGGGGCTGCCTGAGAAGTGGATGGAGGACCTGGCTGAAGAGGGAGAGCCAGTGGTTTATCTGGTGGCAGTGTGCTTCAGGGAAGCCGGAAGAGGAAGAAGAATGGTCTGGGGCATCAAGAGGACATCTGCCGTGTCCAGGCCCGTGGGACGTGCAAAGAAACAGACGTCGCCTGAGAGGAGCTGTAGGGGAAAAGAAGCATAGACCTTAGGCTAAATCCCATAAATAAGATTTCTGGTTTAGATAAAAAGATGCACACTTTAAGGGTTGGTATTCTATTGACAGATCGCTGTTAGGATTTCACCTGTGATTACGAGGGTGCTCGTTCTCCTTCCCTCTCACTAACAGGATATTACCAATCTTCTAATATTGACAGAATAGGTAGGTGAAAAATGGCATGTCATTGTCGTAATTTTTTTTGTTAGCTAACTAGTGAGATTGGATATTTTTAAGTGTCTTATCTGAGTGAGGAAGTGCCCTGAAGTGTTTCACCAGCTGCCTTTCTTGGGAGGTCAGAACAGTTTGGTGTCCTGGGGCACAGCACATAGTGAGAGGAAAACGGAAGGGATGTGGGGTCTGTCCCAGAGGAGACCGTCAGTCTGAGGACACCATCCTCCAGCCCAGAATGGCCAGCAGCCAGGCCGCTCCCCACCTCTTGGGGTCAGTAAGTACCAGAGCAGACCCTGCTTCTCACTGGCTCACAATATTTCTCAGAGGGTCTCCCCAAGTCATGCATTGCAGAAAAAGTCAATTGGCATCACCTTTGTGGAGGGCAATTTAGAAATATCTGTCACAATTGAAAATGCTAATAATACTCTGCCTTCTCAGTTCTACTCCCAGGAATTTATCCTGTGGATGTACTTGTGCTTGTGCAACAGGTTCAAGGTTATTCATTGCAGCATTGTTTGTAGAAGTGAAACCCTGAAAATAACCAGTGTCCTGCAGTGGAGGACGATCTAAATAAACTAGGGTGTAGTCATACGGTGGGATAAGATATGCAGCCTTTTACTAAAGAATGAGGATCTCTTGACATACTAATATAAATGATCTCCAAGATGTTTTGTTAAGTGAAAAAAGTGAAGCTTGGCAAGAAATAATGTATCTGGTATGCTACCATTGTGTAAAAATAGGGTAAAAAAATGAAAGAAATATGTACATATCTGCCTATATGTGCATAAAATGTCTCCAGAAGGATATATGAGAATCTGAGGATGATGTTGCCTCTTTGGAGGGCAGCTGGGTCACTGCAGGTCAAGAACGAGAGAAAACCTTCACCATCACACCTTTTGTACCTTTTGAACTGAGAACCCTGTAAATGTGCAGGGACATCATTGCACAACTCCGGAGATACCATTTACAGACTTCCAGCAATGGTGCTCCCCAGAGTTATGCAGTGGCCACATGGGGCTACTTCCTAGATGCATTATCAAAGTAAAAACCAAAGAAAACAAAAAAGCCTGGCCAGTGGAGTTGGTTATTCTTTATCATATTTCTTAGAAAACTTTTCTTTGTATGTTTTTAAAATAGAGATGTAGTACAATGGCCATAATTGTTTTAGTTATCCAGTGCTAAATTGTTAAAAATTGGCTTTCCTCTTTGGTTTTCATTAGACGCCCACCTGCAAAACGGCCCAACTATGTTAAGCTTGGCACTCTGGCACCTTTCTGTTGTCCCTGGGAGCAGCTAACTCAAGACTGGGAATCAAGAGTCCAGGCCCAAGAGGAGTCGTCCGTAGCTTCCTCTCCAAGCAGTGAGGAGAGTGACCTGAGGGGAGACAGGGTGCCTTGTCCTCCCACGCCTGAGGAAACTCATCAGGTGTCTGATGAGGCGGGCACATCCCTACATGACTCCAGCAAGCCTGAAGGAGCAATGGACACAGAGTGTCCAGCCCAGGCGGGGACTGAGTGGGAAATGAACCAAGATGCCACCAGCAGTCTCCTCTGCGTTCTTAGGTGAGTACACATGACTTCCAGATGTGTTTTCGCTTGTCTGTTTTAATAAAGACCGAGCTATAAGGTGTTAAAGTTATCGTTGTTCCTTTATGCAAAGCCCAGGTGAATTTATGGACTTTCATAGAGGACTCAGGGAAATAGCTAAACCACATTTGATTTGGGGCGTGATACTAAGTGATGAAATGATTTGAGATATTGTCATCCATAAGCCTAAACCGAGGCAGCTTTTTTTATGACCTAGTTCATTCTTTGCTCACAAAGCAGTACCTTCACACGTGTCCTCTCTGCAGACTCTCAGCAAGCGTTCCTTACTTTAAATCACTAAATTAGATTTCTTCTCATTCCTTTTGAATGATCTCAATTTGTGGCCAGTTAGGTACCGATTCCTTGTAAAATTGTCCTATCATTGGGGCTACCATGTAAAATGTGTCCTACTCACAATGCCCTGCAGGCTGTTAGATTTTGCTTATCAGTTGTCCGGTGCTCAGTGCTCTCTTTTTGAAAAAATGCTTATCCCTCTTGCCTTATACTTGTTTTTTTTTTTTTTTTTTTGTATAATAACCTCATAATTTCATATCCTTTTTTACTTTTCATATAACCCCCTTAGAGCTTCTTTTCTAATCAAAATATCATCTCTTTAGTCCTCTCACTATGATTATAGCATTAGATTCTATCTCACTTTCTTATTTTTCTCTGCCTTCAATTTCTTAAACATTTAGTCTTTCTATCTCAGAATAGTAGACACATAAAAAGAAAAATATGATTAAAAATACATTAATGTATATTTTTAATTTTTTTTAAAAAATTGGTTCTGATCCTTTTCCGTACAGAGTATTAAAAACTCAAATTAACTCTAGCAATGCCTAATCATCTAATTGCATATTTTCTCCTGAAACAACATATTCTCAAATGCATGTCTCCAATTTCATGCAGGAATAGAACGTCCTTGAAGCTGCTGTCAGCCTGGTGTGGGCCCATTTCAGGTGACAGTCGGGCAGCCCGGCGAGCTCCCGGGAGAGGACAGCAAGAACTGACCAGAGAGGCCTGCCTGTCCGTCCTGGACCGCTTCCCCAGGGCCCTGGTGTGGGTTGGCCTGTCGCTGCTCAGGAAGGGCAGCCCCGAGCCACACACCATGATCTGTGTCCCAGCCAAAGAAGACTTCCTGCAGCTCAGTCGGGATCAGCTCTACTGTGGGCCCCAGGAACCCAAGCACAGCGACCCATTCAAGAGCAAGATCCGGAAACAGAAAGAGAAGAAGAAAATAGAGAAGAGGCAGAACCAAGGGCGTGCTGTGTCTGAGGGCCTGGCAGAGGAGGACCCCACAGCTGCACCCCGAGCTCCAACCCTGGGCTTGTGGTCAGGCCCTCTCCCCAATGTGACTTCTCACTGCTCCAGAGTTCTCCTTGGCTATGTCACACAGGGAGATTTTTCTATGGCTGTTGGCTGTGGAGAAGCCCTGGGGTTTGTTAGTTTGACAGGCTTGCTGGATATGCTCTCCAGCCAGCCAGCAGCAGAGAGGGGCCTAGTATTACTGAGGCCTCCTGCCTCTCTGCAGTATCGATTTGCGAGAATTGCTATTGAGGTGTGAAGGCCGGTTTACATCCTTGCAGGGTATAGATGGTAATTGTGCTTGCCAAGTCCCACAATTGGAGAATTTTGTTTTTACTGTCTCTGTTTCAAAATATCATGTGAAATTTCTTGGAAATGAGAATTTAAAAAATTACATATTATGCAAATGGATGAAATGTTTACATTCCAGTAATCTCATTGATTTCCGTTTTTCTGTGTCTTTGCCATAGTACTTTAAAATTATTTTGCATATATAGCCAAAAGCTTTTCTGTTATGATTTCTTGGTCTGTATAATTCTTGCTGAAAATAATTAGAAGCTCTACATTTTTTCATTCCCTTTTTTTTTTTATAGGAGCAAAGGGCTGTCAGGTCTTTTTGAAAAACCTCGTAGTTGTGTAACAAGCAATGATGGTTGTTTAATGATCTGATTGTTGCAGAAGAGGAAATGACTACAGACTGGCCTTTGAACATGAAACGTCTGGGCCACACTCTGTTCTCTGCTGGAATCAGCACGCCTAACACTTCCCACTGTGCAGAAGGCCATTGTGGAGGATGCATCACCGCCTCTTCTCAGGGAGGCTCGGTTTCTGGCAAGCGTGGTGGGGTGGGATTAGAGTGGGGAGCTATGATTTTGTCACCCCCGTCCGTCCTCTTTGTTGTAGATCAGCACGTGATCCTAGGAGTTACTTAATTCTTCTGCACTTTTCGTTTATGCAAAAAATTTCTCAAAGCCATAGAAGAGCATTTCTCAAAGTTTGTTCTATGAAATGTTTTAATCTAAAGAAAAAAGAAAAAGCGATTGTAAGGTCAGATTGATTTGGAAAACTCTGAGTTAAATATAGTTAAGCATTTCTCTTTGAAGGTCTTCTAGAACCGTCCATGTGATAATGTACATTGTGAATCTCCAGGAAGTGAATAATAGTCTACAGTATTTTCTGAAACTTTTTGATCCCAAATCTCCTTTTGCAGGGAACACCTTGTAGGACCAGTTCTTAGGAACAAATTTGGGAAATGTGACTATACAGTGCAATACTTACCTCTGCACAGTGAAAACTAAAGTGACAAACTGCCTTTAAACATTAATGCCATCACATTGTGCACCTGACATTTCGAGCAGGGTCCCATAGCAAGAGTGGGGTCATCACTGCTTTTTTCCACTTCCAGAGAAACTAGGTGCTCTTTAACTTTTGGTTGCTATGTATGTCTCATGCCCTCAGTCCCTTATTTTCTTGCCATAAATTTCTAGCAGAGCTTGAGTGGGATTTTTTAAAAATTTAATTATACAGTTAGGCATTATTTACTATAAATGTATTGTGTTTTTGCAGTAGCATCTGGCAATAAATACCTTTGGGGGTGATGAGTTGGGGAGAGATACAGCAAGTATTACAGTAGCCGATGGAATGTCTGATGTTTTTCCTCTCACCATGCCTCTAAATGTATTTGTGTCCAACCCAAATAAGACTGAAAAAAACAGTATAACTTAGTGGTGTCTATAAACAAAATAAATTAAAATGTCACCTGATGTTCGGTTGTGAATATTTATTGGAGCATTCCTCATTTGTTTTCTAGGCTCCAAGCCACTTCATCTGTGGCCTAGCTTGCTTGATGACAGAAGTTGAGCATGCTGTGAGTCACCAAGCCGCGTTTGGTATAGCACCCTGCCTGTGGCCTGCCCTCGTTACCAGGGACAGGGCACAATTACTTTGCTTTGTGGTGGCAGGTCAAAGAACTATGCGCTAAAAGACTAAACTAGCATTTCTCTAAATGTATTTCTGGGAGTACTGATCCCTGAGATGTTTCCTGGAAAAAAGTGTTCCAGACCTAAATAAATTTTGGGAAAGCTGTAGGCTGTATCTTCCTGTTGCAGATTCACTGTGAACGTTACTGTAGCCAAGGCCCTGCAGACACCTGTAGGAGGGAAATCTGGTTCACAGGTGCCCCCTCCCACCTTTTCTTTTTCGTATAGCTGTTCTCCAGAGAGCACTAGTTTCAAGGAATATACAGGGATGTGTTTATTTTGATCCCACTAGATGCCTGCTGAGCTGTCATATAAGTACATATGGCCCTGTCCTCTTGCAGAGGGGCTTAGATTTCAGAGTTCATCAAACCAGGAAAGTGCCCTAAAAGTCAAGAGTTGTGAGCTGAACACCCTGAGATCTGAGATGTGTATGGAACAGAATTGATTCTGTGTGATTATGCTTTTTTTACATTACAGAAGTAATATTTTTATATTAATGATTCATATTCATCTTCAAAAAGTTAGAAAATGCAGATGAGCAACAGAAATAACAAAACTTAAATCACCTGGATTTCACCACGCAGTTGTAACTAACTGCTGTGCCTTTCTGGTATGTAACCTAGGCTTTGAGATAATGTCAGTAGTTTTCTAAGAAAAACAGCTTCAGTATTTGCTCATGTAGAAACCTGTGCGGTACCTGTGAGGCGGAAGCGCCTGTTGCCAACCGTTGTGGAGCCGGATCAGTGGGAACCTGAATGTTTGTTTTCCTTTCATCAGAAACAGGAAGCTGGTGCATTGTGGCATTGTCTTGCCTACTACATGTCTTTCTCCCCAGCCAGTGGGAAGTGAGGTGGGCAGTTGATGGCTGGGTGGACTCCGTAATAGCCTTAACTGGTCTATCTGTGGCCTGGGGAGCATAGAAGCTTGGTCCAGGACTGGGCTGCTTCACAGATGATACAAGATAACACAGACTAGCAACTGCGAGTCAGTTGGAGCAGCAACCCCAGTTACACAGCGATTACGTGCACTCCTGACCACGGAGGACCATAGGTGCTGTTGTTTCTTTGACGACATTGGCTTTTTATCGCTGGCTGCACATGAGAATCACCTGACAGCCCAAGCCCCCTTCCAGAAAGAAATCTGGGGTTGGCCCCAAACATCACATTTCTTAGACGCTGCCAGCCCATTCGGATGTACAACTTGGGCTGAGGACTGTGTCTTAGGAGGTCTGGCTCTTAGGACCCCCTGTACCTTGAGAAAAGAGCATGAATGAGTAATGAGGCTGTGGGAACCTTACAAGCATTGTGCCGTTAGCAGGCCCAGCCTACAGGTCTGTTGGCGGCATTGTGAAGCAGCCAGGTGGGAACGTAATGAGAGCATGCTGTCGAGGGTCGGGCGGCCCAGAGCGGGGCTCCCCCCCGGGGCAGCGACCTGGTCTTGAAAACGAAAACAGCCTGGCTCATTACTTGTATAATCCTTCACTTCTTGGGAGTGTAAAATGAGGCCTTTTTCTGTTTGTTTTCTCTTGGGGAGTATCCTTCCGGATCAGCTAGTCTTAAACTTGGCTGCACATGGGAATCACCTGGGGAGCTTTCACTGCCCTGGAGCCTGGTTTAACTGGGTCAAGGGTGTGGCCTGGACATTGGGATTCTTAAGAGCTCGCAGATGACTTGCAGCCAGGGTTGAGAGCCACTGTTCTGGATGGTTATATGAGGTTCCAATGTCATTAGCCAGGGATGCAGAAACTTATCAGTCATGGGGAACCATGCAGGGAAGGAGCAGATGTCGGCTGTCTTGAGTGGGGCACATAGCTGTCATTGATGGATGTCCTTCGATAGGGCAAACAGCCAAGTTCACATAATGGCATTTCCCTTCTCCCCCTTTTTAAAAATTAACAGAAAGAAATCTATGAGAGGTGAACACAGTGTAAATATATATATATTATATATATATGCCTTACTGTTAAAGAGTACAGCTGAAACTTATTGGATTTCATTAACGAATGCCACCATAAAAAATAAATTAATTTAAAAAACCTTAAAAACAATTAATGCTTAGCCAGGTTCTGTTCTGGAAGAGCCCCCGACCTTCTGCTTGCGAGCATGGAACTCGCCCACCTCCTCGCACTCGTCTCGGCCTCTCTCGCTGTGTCCTGAACACGCTGGTCTTCCGGTTCCGTGAATGACTAGCCGAGCTCTGGCTGCCCCATGATTTGACACGAGCTGTGCTCTGCCTTCAGGGAATGTCCTCTTGCCCCTGCCCACGCTTTCTGCACACACGTCCCCTCTCATCCCATCCTTCTGAGCTTGACTTTATATTCCTCAGAGGCCTCCTCCTGCCTACATTATTTTCGATCACACAAGGAGTTTGTTTCCTGATGATGTCACAATATGTAATAATTCTCTTGTTTAGTTGTTTATTATCTACTCCATTAGGCTGGGAGCCTCTTGATTTCTGTTGCACCTCAGATCCTAGCACAGTGCCTAACCCACAAATATATTGTTGAATATATTTTTGTTGATGCATTAATTAAAGAGGGCATTTGTATTAAATTGTACAATGCTGTTTTAGCACAGGCATATGGTCTAATGCACAAGTTAGCCACTAGGTGGTGCCAAGACCTCATAAGAAAACAGCCACTCTGGAAAAAGCATCAGAACTAAAATAATTCAGCGGTGTCTGTCACTGGAATAGTGGAGTTTATGAGGTTACAGATCAATTAATATTCCCTCTCTTGGGGCAGACCCATCCTACCAAAATCTTAGTTTGCAAAGGCTCTGAGTTTTAAAGAGGGAACTAGAGAAGAAAACTTGAAAAGCTCCTGTCTAATGAACGAATGCCATCCACATCATCCCCTGTAAGTTTGCCCTCTCATCACGAGCTGATGACAAGGAGCTCATTACTTCACCTGGAGCTGCCATCGCCCCCTCGGCAGCATGCTGATGGGCGAACTGCCTCATTAGCTTCATCCTTACCTCAGATAACATTGGGAACCAGCCTTTTATTTGGGGGAAGTCAATTATCGACCTTTTTGCTCTTCTCCAGGCTAAAACCTCATTTCTTTAGCTTTCCTTCTCTCATTTCCAACATCTCATGGAAGACCTTAAATTAATTTTTGGACAAGTCATAATTTGTTCTCAGAACAACCCTATACAGCTGCATGAGCCTTGGGCAGGGGCTGCTGGCTTTAGGGAGGGGCGGGAATGTCCTGGATCACTGCGCCCTCCCTGAAGTCTCCAGCCTCTTCTTCCCTTGCTCTGTAGCCCCTACTACTTGAGGCATGCGTGAGCTTGGTTTTCCTCAAAAGCAGAGCCTGGACAGTTTACATGCAGGTGGTTTATTTTCAGAAGTGACCTAAGGGAACAGGAGTGTGGAGACTGGGCAGAGTGAACTGGGGAAGGAGTGAAAGCCAATCCAAGCACGCATTATTCAACTGGGGACAAGTGAGTGCTCCCGGGGCGTGGTGCATGGGGGCAGGTGACTGCGCCTCCAAGTTGTCCACGTGAGGCCCAGAAGAGGGAAATCTATTTACTAGCTCTCATTCCTACTGGTCAAGGGTCGCCCCCTGGAGAGTTCATTGCCTTGTACCTCCAGGTTTGCTAGAAAACTGAATCTGCCCCGAGGGGATCCCACGGAAGGAAGGCCAGCTGAGAAGCCGGAAGGGCGCAGAAACAAGGTGCAGCTAAGGCCAGGTGCGGTTGGGCTACACCGGTTCCCAGCAGGTGGCTGCAGTAAGTACACCGAGGGAATGTGAAACCGGAAAAGAGATGTCTAGCACTCAGGCCCCAGGAGACAGGGTGACTATTCCCTGTTGCAGCTTTTGAGGAGCCAAGGGACGTGGGAGGTGCAGGAAGCGTCAGGGGTGCTTGATGAGCACTCTGAAATGAGTGCCGGCAGTTGGCGTGCGGACTCTAACGTCCACCCCTCCGAAGTTGGGAGCGGCGATGGCCCAGCCACCCAGCAAGCTCTTGGGCCGGGGAGTCTGCGGAGCGGGCCTTCCTCCGTTTTTGGGCACTGCTTGGCACAGCTCGGAACACTGCCCATTGCGCGTCTGCAATGGTCATCAGGAAACAAGGCTCAAGCCTGTTGTCTGGCAAGAAAGTAATCCCGTGGAGATGTTGGCTGGCTCCGGGCGGCCTCCCCACCGTCCTGCGCAAAAGCGTCCAGCTTCCTCTGCTCACCCCCAACCCCCACATCTTTTCCTCTCCCAACTCAGCAGTTCCCCTCTCGGCTGGACCCGTTTTATCTGTTTTCTCAGTAAAATGAGGCAGATTGGAGAACAGTGTTGCTACTTAACGTGCGGTGCGGTCCGGGAACCAGCGGCATCGGCCTTAGTAAAGCAGGTTCTTGGGCCACACACAGGCCTCCTGCTGGAGTCTGCGTTTGAACGAGGTCCCTGGGGCATTCCTCTCCGCGGGGTTGCTGCGGAAGCAGGGGACTAAGCAGTGGTTCCTGAACCTGGTTATCATCAGAAGCATCTGGGGCGCTTTCAAAAAACAAATTTCCGAGCACCCGTGGTGTGGCCCTGAAATCTGTCATTTTTAATAAGCTTCGCTCGTGATGCCAGCACAGGCCATTCGTGGGATGGTGTCTGGCCATCACCAGGATAAGTATCTTTGGTTTTTTTCTACTTCTAAAATTCCGATATTTTTGCCACTGACTTTTTACAAATTATTGTCACTCTTTTTGGGTATTATGAATTAGCGGGATCTAAGTTTTTTCTTTTTACTTTTTCTTTTTTTAAACAGGACTAGTTTCTGGCTGCTGAATATTTTGGGCAGGAA